TACCAAATTTAGGTAGTTTTAAGAATAAATATATTTATAGGTATTCCTTAATGCATGTACCCATCTAGTAGCTGTGGTGTGGCATACACCACAGCTCCCTTGGGAGAGTGACGGGTCGCTCTCATGTGACCCCGTTACAGTCAAGGTCTAAACTTGACTTCACGACCAGCTCATCTAAATTCAGCCATGCTTGTACCCATAAAATTACAGCTACCGACCACGTCTTTTGATACACGCAAGCCGATCAGCAATCTCTAGTTAAAAAGGCGATGAGCCACACAACTCTGTTTTCTTTGAAGAGGTGAAGGGTGATTGTACACCTATTTAAAAGCATCAAATACACCAGAAATTTTTGCCGAAGTCAGTATTCAGCCGTCTTCGGTTAGACCATTCACGGTGGTAGCAAAAAAGTATTTTTTTAGTAAGAATAGCCCTTGAGATCACGAAAGTAAGTCTCACCTTTCTCATCGACAATACCTTCGGGTGACAAATGTCAAATGAACAGTTTCTTAGACTCTCAAATTTGACGAAGCGCTTTGAGGACGTCTGTTGCCTGTATGACACCCTTTCTAAAAATATATCATGGCTTTAATTCTTTCGGGAGGCCACCTGGCTCCAAATCGCGATCGTTGTTTTGGAAGAGTAGCCATTTTAGCTAATGGGGTCAACTAGGTCATTACGTTGTCTTCTCCAGTACGCTCTGCTGCCGAGCGGCTCACTAAAGCTAGAGATGCTGTAAAAAGGCCACAAATCACAAACACATATGTGCGTCCGTTGTGGATAAGAGCTTAACTCCATTCCGATCCAACTACGTATGAATATGTCACTACAGCGAAGGCGCAACGGAGTCGTGAAAGTTACGATGTTGGTCCTGAATACAATTCGATGACATGTTGAGAAATCGGTGAGCGGTCGTCTGATGGCAATCGTTTGCGCTACACTTGTGCAAGAAGCTGACCAGGTCAAGCTACTTAAGTCTTACTCTTCGATACGCTAACATCGGCCTTTGGGATTTTGTCAGCGCCAAGAAAGCCTTTTCCTGTACTAGCAAGAATTTCTCGAGCATATCACTTGAGCATACTGTGAATGCGCTCGAATTGAATGTTAATACTTGATGTCTGTGCTTCGAACGCGCATTATGGAACATATTGGCATGATAAGTATTCGCGCTTGCACGATATGGCCTCAGCAGTTTTGTAATTAAACGGCCAAAATTGCTAATACATTCAACATCCCTCGGGACCTATGCTGTCAGGTCAAGTATAACTGACTCATATGGAGACTAGATCAACAAAAGCTCTGACAGAGTTAGGATACGAAGCTGCTTTACAGTACATTCTTCGTCGGAGCTTGAGCCTGTATCGAGGATGTATTTAGCGTTTTTTTATAATAAGCATGTCTGAAATTTCAGTTGCCATTAACATTTCGTGAAAAATAGGGGATCTACTCCTCTTTGATGGAGAGAGGAATCAATTGACGGTCCCGCTCCTCGTTTTTGAAAGGTACCAACATGTGATGCAGTATTTGTATCCAACATTAAATTTTTGCCCAGGTATCGTAGAAGTATCGTGCTAGTTATTCCAGATAATTTCAAATTCTACACCACAGATGTCGCAGTTTTGTGCCCACGTTAAAACTCCATCTTCTTTTTAGCAAAGGCAAATGAATTAATCACCAAAGCTTTACTACAAGATTAACATTTGGTACCCAAGTTTTCGACTTCAGGCCGTTCCAGTCTCTGTTATGTTCTAGTCAGGCCATGTCTTAACTGCGAATATAAATTATATGTGTTCTAAGACAAATCAGCGTTTCACACTGCCAAACTGCACAAAGACTTTCGGAGTACTCGAAATATCTGCTAACACTTTTGAGATTCTGATGTTTGAATACAAATGCGTTTGAGACCATCATAGCGCTCCAAGACCTCACAATGGCGCGAAGCGTTGATGTTACGAACAACAAAACGTGGTCTATGGGCCTCAAATCTTTGTGAGATGTGCTATTCTTCATGACTTGGTATCATAAACATCCCGAGAGGTACAACATAACTCATTTTTCTCATAAAAAGCCACGATTCTTCTACTGATACCGAATTTTCGTCGCGAAAATTCAATCGGTCGACTGTGCGTGGACTTGATCCTTTTACCTCACAGCCCAGTGAGAGAGGAAGGAAGCAGGCTGTTGAGGTTTTGTATTTACACAGCTGTAAGACCCGCGGATACCAGGCGCTGTCCAGCAGCGAAGTTACTCAATCTCAATCTCAGCCCGGCTGAGGTCCATCGCGTCTGATGCAAAAACAAGCTATAAATTTCCACCCCCAGTCGATCGCGTTAAATGTAAAAGGTTAAGTTTCCCAAGAAAGCCTGACCAGATGCGGAAGGCCTCAGTGCGAACCGCACATCCCGACAAAGATCATTCAGAAATATGGCAAATACTAATTACGCTGGAAAACGATCGCTGATATTTTCTGTGTAAAATTGTCTACTCTCGTTCTAAATACAGCCGTATTCTCTTTCATTGCAGGTTAGTAGACTGAATTTTGGCCCCACGCGGTATGTCTGTTTAGGAGGCGCAACGTATTACGACATCTGCTCCTTAAGGACTCCCCTTTTCATATTTTCTCGCTTTTTAAGTTCACATCTTAATGCCCATAGCGAGCGCAGCCTCGTGGCTTGAAAATTGCTAGAATGGTGCATTCATTCTGTTTGATACAGGGTCGAGTCAATAGCAATCTTATTTTTTTGTTCAGAGGAGTAAAATTTTGCGATCATTGCCCCCGCAGACTGTATTGCTCAACAAATATTCCTCTATAGAGCGTTGCGGCGCTTCCACCGACCTGTAGAAACGTTTTTTTAAGATCCATTTTCTGAGCGAATGAATGTCTCTGAGCAAGCAAGAGCTACGTTCGAGATTTAAACCGCCTGTTGCGCTATTCTCTCAAGACCAACAGACGACAGAAGCTTATTGACCATGTCTTGCTGGCGCGAGTGAGAAAAGTGACCATCTGAAAATTCATATCCAAGAAAGTGCAATTTTGATAAGAATTGGTCATCAAATTGAGGGCATGTGCTGCTAAGAGCAACGGGATCGATGCACACCTTGCATAAAAGACGGGTGGAAATTTCGTTCTTCAGACGCCGAGTCGAGAGCCTCTCCGATACAAAGTACTATACAATTGCTTAAATGAAAACGTGATATGTCATCAAATCTTATTAAACGCTACACCAGTATTCACAATTTACTGCTTGTAAAAACACTTACATAACGCATTTCATAATGCTAGCAAACAACGCTCTCACGTGTATCTACTTGTAGAGCACTATCAACACCCATCTGCACAAAACATGGCACTTCACCATGGGCCTTGAGAGCTTCAATTCATGTCAGAGAGACGAAATTGTAATACACCATTATCCCTCTGACATGTTACTGAAGTCAATCACTGATACCAAGTTAAGACGGATACAGACAGCTTTGAAGTGACCCTTGAGGGTTGCCTTCGCTAGGGAAAAAGAAAACACCCTTGTGTCTCCGTCATCGCGGAATGTTGCTGTACAGGAGCGTCAGCAAGCCGCGGTGCAAGAGCAAAACTTCGTAAAGACAGGCGACTTTTAGTTGTATGTCATATGAGCTAGCCCTAGAAACGGCTTATTCTGAGATATAAGCCGAATTCGTAGCAACGAATGACTGTACTCCGTGCTATACATTCCAACTAATAGTATCGTGACATACGGCCGTAAAGAAAATGTTTATCGCCCATAAGAAAACCCGGTTCGACGGTCTTGTAAATTCTAAAAAACTGTATCTATGTAAGAGGTGAGAAAGATAACAGTATCGACGAGCTCAGCTTCTTCTTCGGCATACTTGCCTGCTCGGATCAAGACTCGCGCTTTACAACCAAATTTTGGCAAACTTTGTTAGAATGGATATACCCAAAGCGAACCACTATAGACAGATGGTCAATTGAAATGCATTCGCCGCATTGTGCTGATAAATCTTCGGAGAAAACGTGCGAAGCGACATGCACTAACTTACTGAATTTGAATTAACCAACGCAAATCGTGCCGATACCGGCTTCACAACATGGTTTATTATATTGAGTATTAATTTTTGTACCTCTTGATAATATCACGAAGATCTAATTATCTTCGTAGAGAGAAACGTTTTTGGCTAGTTGACTTGCTATGTCAGTACAGCTACACTACGCAGCAAAATTGGCAAGCTTATCTAAAAAATAATATGCGCTATGCAGCAAATGCGCGAAGTTCTTGCTGTAGCACTTTAAGGGTAGGTAAATTGACACGAGCTTAACGTAATTCACACATTTTAATCAAACGTTAATGATCTGCCTGCACACGCAGCGTCTGCAGCTTGTAAGACAAAGGTGCGCTCTTGCAACATTTTTATCCTTCCAAATTTAACCAGAAAAAATTACGTTACACTCTGAATGTTTACAAAGATATCCTATGCTTTTTGTATTGATTTTTGTCTTGACCCCGAACCCATGTGTCACTCGGACGCGGAGTGAACTTTGATGACGAAGCAATTGTTTGACAAATCCCTAACTTCTTTTCCAAATTAGCAACATGTATTTAGACAGCTACGAAGGCGTCAAGCCAATCGCTACCATTGTACTGCTTTTCAAGCTCGTCTAAAAAAAAGAATTATTTACGTAAGACGCACGCCGATACACCTGGCCATAGTCATAAGCAGCTTTGACCTCAGAAACTCAAGAGAGTCAGCCAAATGAAAGTCTCGGCACTGCTCGATAGGCGAGACTAAGACCAATTCCATGGGGACGGTTGTGGGCCATCGCGCTCACCAGAGCTTAGTCAGAATCGGGCAAAGTGGAATGGCAATCCTCATTTCAAGAGCAGTTTGAATTTAATTGTCCACTCCGGCAGGATTGCCTTAATGTCGTTGGCGCTATGATTCGGTACACTTTAATGTAACGTCGGCATGTTAAGAGGCATTGTCACAACGCGCTTTTCATAAGCGAGTATGAAACGGCCTTGTTTGAAAATTTGATTTTTTTTTCATCTGTTTGATCATGGCAATTCACAACACGAGAAGTTGGCGAAGACGAGTGTCAGTCTCGTCGAAGACGTTGCTTTCAGAACTTTGCAGATTAAAACATCAAGTGGCATTTTAATATATGTCTGTTTTATTGAAAACTGGCTTATCGAATCACAAAATTGGTAAAGTGACGTGCTTTTTTTATTCAACCCTCGAATTAAGTTATGTATTTTTCGGCATCATAAAGCCATAGATGCCGTTTTCATGGAAAACACCGACTTTCATAGTCGCTACAGACCCCTCCGTAAGCTGAACCCAAGATAATATAGGGCAAGAAGCACTAGCAATACGGATCACTTGTAATATTTTCGTTCTGTCTTATAGACTGAGTAATGCAGAAGTTGCCAAAAATGATACCGCCGGCGAGCAATTTCTGCGTGATCGGGTTAATCAAGTTCATAGATACGGAAGGATATAGTCACTTTATACCTTTTTGTGACTCTTATGCTAAATTATTATATTGAATTCATTGAAATAGGCCCACTCATTTATGTTGGGCCGGACTCGTGGCGTCTTGCCACATGTCGCTCTGGGGAATGGACACGGTGTTTACTCGCGCAGATGTAGGAATGACCGCTGAGTTTAACACCCGATTACATTTTGGGACCGGTACGATAGCAGTGAACCATAGTGAAGACTGGCACTACAGTTTGCTATTGATATATACAACAACTGCATCGGTGCAGTTTTTGATGTACCAAAGCTATACCGATGTAAATAGGCAGACCAAAATTAGTATCAAAATTGAATCCATCCAGTACCACATATGGTGCCTGCACAAAATTGACTCCATCGGCTCTGAATACTACCAACGGTAGCTTGAAGATGCGTGTTTCCAGTTACTGATACCGACGCTACCTTACGGTCGCTATGGACCTATGGACATTCGCTAGTTAATACAAGCGTCAGAGGGTGATTCACCGCCGTAAGAAAATTATACCGTTGCCACGGCGAGCGAATGGTGGAGCTGATACTATTCAATACAGGAGCAGACAGAACACTGTTGAAATTCATTTGATTTGTCAGCTTCTCCAGACATACAATACTGCTCTTCATCAACAAAAAGGTTTATACTATGCGCTAACCACCATGATGCTTCTTGCTCCCTCAATTTTTCTCGAGATCTAGTCACCGATGGTCAAGCGATTCGACGATGAGTGATACGGAGCAATGATTTAAAGTCTGCGTACTTAATCCTAGCACACTTCGTACAGCTGTACGAAATTAGTCTAGCTGTGAATACTTTAAAGTAGCGAAATATTGGTATCTATGACTATAATTAAACCTAAAAATGTAGAGAATGGGATACACATGGGCACGTGGGCTGCTAGCTTAAAATATGACAATACTAGAAGAGATTGTAGAACGTTATGTTCTCGGTAACGTAGCACAAAATCTAAACTATATGAACTCCTGACAGAACAGATCTAGCCAAACTCTCAGGTGCCAAAAATACACCTTTTCTTGCTCTTGGCAGGAGCACACAAAACCAACCACGAAGCTTTTGTTAGCGCAAAGTTTCGGGATAAATTATCTTTTGCAAAGTGCACCGTATCCCAATTAGGCATGGAAGCGATTGCGGCCAGTTCCAACGCCGGTGAGTAAACAGACTGTATCATTTGCGGCGATGGGACATGAACTGTTAGCGCACCTGACCTCGAGACAAGTAGACCAGCTTAGTAGCCTCATGCCCATATTAAGTGTCGATGGAATCGGCGAACTAGCAGCCAAAAAGGTGTGGCAATAATCGCTGGCCAAAAGGCCTTGAATATGTGCTCTTGAGGCACGTCCAAAAGCGCTTCGATTGGGCGCTGGTGGAAAGCCAAGTGGTTTCTAACGTATGGCAACTGGTGTCCAGCGTCCAGACTTTTGAGAGCCGACATAAGAAAAACACCCACTATAGATGATGGAATTTGGGATGACCATGAATTTAGCCATACATTATATTGAGCGACAATGTGTCGCGCTTGCAGTCTTCAAGCTAGGCGGCCGCGCACAATGATGGGCTCTGACGCTCAAAAGCTCTATAGAAGAGGTGTTCTAGCGTCTGACAATACGAAGAGACAAACTTCGCGGCCTTTTATAGATGTCGTCCACCCTTCAAGAGAGGTGAGAGCTGACGAATTGTGCCCAGAAATGAAGAGCTCTCATCGCCACAATGGCGAATGGACCTCTTTTCGAGGCGGTAATGATTTTCATCTTTTAGGAGAATCTACAAGCGGATGCGACTTGCACCGACACCTTCCGCATACACCCTACCTCTTTTGAGGAACCTGTGAGTGCTGTATTCAACGGACAGTTCCACGATAGCAGGATGAGGGGTTGGCACTTAAAGCTAAACAAAAATGCGCCTAGAGGCGATAGACCTCAGTTATGCTGAAGAGGGAGCGAGTATTTTCGTAGCTGCTGAGTAGCTCTACGGCACCCGCAGATGTTTTGTTGGTGAGAGTCTGAAGTATCTGCTTTTTGCGCGCTCCTTTGCTTTCAACTAAAAACTACGAAGGATCGGGCTTCCAATCGGGGATATGCCGTGTCCCAGTAGGCATTGTCAACCTGCAAGGATAAATTTGGGCTCGTTTGTATCTCGTTGAGGCCGTGGTGAATAAGGCCTAGCGTTAAAGAAGCGATTCTCTCTAAGACAGGTCGGACTCACAGTCTTGGGTTGTCGGTTAAAAAATATACTGTCACGGACTCTGTGGAGCCTCAGAGATTTTAAAGTGACGGGAAGATACGTCCGCCGTGCGCCTCTTTAAAAAAATCGACTGGACGCGGAGGAATTAAGATACCAAATACGGAAACAATAATAGAGCATCTTGCAACCGTGATACTAGCAACATTGTCGATGATTTTGTTGAGCCTTGACGTAAAGTTTGATGACTTTGAAATTATAAAAGGTTTTCAGTCCTGTGACAGGAATTCACATACACTTTCACCCTAGTCATAGTGTGGCTGGAGCGCCACGAGTAATGGGCCAAACAAGAAGTCAAAAATTTTAAGTGCCACACACTTTTCTCCTGGTGAAGCCTTGGCAAATCGTAGTCCTACATTTACCGGAAAGTAGAATCACTTTTTGGTTTGGGCACAGCGTGCAGACATTTTATTTTGCTCTTGTCATGTGCTCGAATAACGGTCGGATGGCGACGGACAGAAAACGGCGATCATATATCGCGGTCTCTAAAGTGCATTCTTTTGAGACGAGAAAGGACAATTATATGTCGTGGTCTCTAGAGTGTACATAAGGCAAAAAAATAACAACCAGTTGTAAGCTATTGTTTCCCGGTGAAGCTAAAGGGCGAATGTTAGCCTCGAGTGGATGCGTAGAAATCTGAAATCTAGAAGATTTGCCCATCCTTGTCACAATGGGATTGCACTGCTGAGTCAACACCATAATGTAACGGTCTCGCCATGCGGAGAAGCAACACTCTACAGATATTAGCGAAGAGCATAATTCAAACGTGATTAGCGAAACTTGTTGAGCCTTTAATGCGAGGATTGAGGCACTTATCCTCAAAGAACCTTAAAATCATCTCTTATATCTGTTGAAAGAAAGATACGACGAGGTGACGAGAGACACATCGCACGTTTAACCCCAAACTAAAAGGTGCGTCATGAAATTGATTTGGCTTTCTGCACCAAATTTCGCGTAACACGGCATTGGACCTTGACAAGGAAACATTGTGATGTGATGTCTTTCTTTCCTGCGATACATGACGCGAGTTTGGTGATAGAAGATAAAATTTCACATTATGCGCCGAGTTTCTAGGGTTAATGGCAAGTGGCGAATTGAGCAGCTCTATAAAGAGCTGAACATAGCCACAGTTCTGACGCGAAAGCATTTTTCTAGAAAGAATGTGCCGCACCTGGGCATGGCCGGTCGCACTTTCATCAGTGTGCACGACCTGGCTGATACTATTTTTCAGCTGCTGATGACTGTAGTGAGTACTCCGAATGAGATTCTCCAAGAGTTGTTGGTCATGTCGCAGGAGCTGTCTGATAGACCACTTACGCTCACTCGTCTGGTAGCACAGCTGTTTATACCACATCGTGACAATGCCAACCCCAATTTGAAAAAGTACTCGTTCATTCGTGTGGAGCTTGGAAAGTCGACGTTCGACACTTGCAAGGGATGTTCAATTGTATAAGCTTGAGATATTCGCCAATATTAGCAAAAATATCTGCGGTGCCGATTATATTTTCTTTCTGAATTCCTTCCTCAATAAACAGAGAGTGCGGACAGATCCCGCAACGATAAATACCATCGTTGCTTAGCCAGTGCCATTATTTCAAGAAGACTAGAGAAAATGGTTTCGCTTGACCAGCTTCTTGCGCAAATACAATGCGAAATTGGCTGACCGGGCTCGACACGATGTTGAGTTTGGCGATCTTCGTGGCTGTAGAAAAAAATAATACATGCCCCGGTTTTGGCAATTTCAAATCCAGTTCGGTCATTTCACATTGTATGTGACGCGTCAGCCTTGGCAATAGCTTGTACGATTCCAATGGTATGAACACTTGATCGTGACTTTGCTCCAGTCCTTATAAGGAATCGCGCAAACCCTCGGATGCCTTTGACTTTGCCACGAAATGACTCCGGTGTAGGTGAGGAAGGAAAATTCGGTCACAGTTGACCTGTTGATATCAGTCCGCCTAACTTGGTAGTGAGATAAGCAATTTTCTTTTGAACTGGGAATGAGTGGCATGCGCAGGGTGAGCGACGCTGTGACTGAGAATCAAGATGAACTCAAGCAACACACCAATGCCAGGTGCAGGTGATTGAAGCCTTCGTCACGACGTAATGTAGAAAAGGACGTAACTCTCATCTTAAAGCTTTTGACTGCTCTATGCGTGATGTATGCAGCTCACCCAAAGGTGAACATTCAGATTTTGAAGAGGAGGTAAATGCAAAAGATCGGCAAGGCCCTGCATCCTTTTCACAGATATGGTGGCTAGGAGATGGGTGTGTCACTTGGTATACTCGAATACACGAGCATCTCGTCATTTTCACCAACTCTGCCTTCATGACGTTAGGCACAGGTATGTTGTGGATTCTTGAGCAACCTTATCGAACCAGTTTTTGGGGGAGCTTCTAACATGCTTCGCGCTCTTAGAGATTCAACTAACGTGAATTGAGACACGAGGATGTTTATGATCTCAACAAAACTCATATTGATGGGGTGTGGGGCACTTACCCGTCACGCTCTTGTCAAGAGAAGAGATGAGAATCAAGCTCAGAGGTGTTAGGTCCTGAAGATAGCATTCTAGATAGGAGAGGCATGACAGTAGGTGCAGCGGGGCTGCCGTAGCTTAGCGCTTGAGGAAGCGTAATCTAGGTCTCCGACCTTTCATTCTATACTTTGAGCAAGTGCGAGTAAGCGTATCGCAATCCGCTCACTTCAAGTGTAACTATTGCCTTACCCAAGGCTAATTAGCTCTTCCGTTTAAAATGCAAAACTGATTTTTTTACTTTTTATCCTGATTTTAAAAGTTCAGATTTTCCTAAATATACAAGAAATATATATAGTAAAATTTAGATACATGCATAACTACTGGCTGCCTGGCCATATACCGTATTCTTGTTTGGGTGATGCACATCTCGTGTGACACACACCCCTGTTACCAGGGTACGTGTAACCCCGTTTCAGTTGGGCTCAATCAGGGGTATAATAAAGTGAAAATGTCAATTATAAACTTTAGTTAGTTAAATATAATCTAAGATATATACTTATCTGGGTAGTTTATATTAATTTTTGCAATTGGTACTTACTATAAATCTGAGCGCGGAATCTATGAGTCAATGCTCGGTGTTCAAAAATGCGTAACAGTGGATTCCTATTTTTGCCTTTTACATTCTATACCCTGCATACTTGATACTAGCAAAAATGGATTTTCATGTCCATTTGGTAGATGCAAACCCGCATCGACTGACAGATCAGCTCGAACAAATCTCCTCAATGATGGTTATGCACGTCGAGAAGAAGCAGTCCACCCCGCACTTTCATCCTAGCAAGGCTACTGCAGTCCTCACTACGAAGCACTTAAATTCAGAAGATAAGCCTGTCGTGTTTCAGGAGCATGCCATGAGTGGTTTTAAATGGTCTGAGGTGGTTTGGTACAATGTAGTCGTATTGACCGCGTGGCACGTCGGCGCAATCTATGCACTGTTTTTTGTGATGCCATATTGTTCGCTATTGCATTTGTTTGTGCTATGGATCCTGCTCTGGATTGTGTCTGGTCTGGGCATCACGGCAGGAGCGCATCGGTTATGGTCGCATCGGTGCTACAAAGCCAAGCAACCTTTGCGTGTGTTTCTTATGTTGTGTAATTCCATGGCGTTTGAAGGCTCGATTTTTGAATGGTCCCGTGATCATCGTGTGCACCACAAAGGCTCTGACACGACTGCTGATCCACACAACTCGGAGCGCGGCCTGTTCTTTTCGCACATGGGTTGGGTAATGGTACGCAAACACAAGAATGTGCGTGAAGCTGGAAAAAAGCTTGATTTTACGGACTTGCTGGCGGATCCAATCGTCACATTTCAGCTGAAGCACTATATGAAGACTGTGCTGCTTATGTGTTATTTAGTACCGACGGCCATTGGATACTATATGGGTGAAGCGTGGGCTGGATTTTGGGTGGGCGGTGTTTTTCGTCATGTTTGGGTACTGCATATGACTTGGATGGTAAATAGTGTGGCCCACTTCTTTGGCTACAAGCCATACGATATTAAAATTAAACCGGTGGAAAACCTTATTGTGGCTATTGGAGCATTAGGGGAAGGCTATCACAACTATCAGTGAGTGCCAGTATTGATCATTTGAGCATCATGAAATTAGTGACTAATATTTGTTTCTTTTAGTCACAAGTACCCATCTGACTACGCAACAAGCGAGTGGGGTATCCTCAGTGGACAATTTAATCCGACCAAGGCCTTCATCGATTTCATGGCCTTATTAGGTCAAGCATACGATCTTAAGCGTAGCCGTACCGCTGCCACAACTCGTGAGCGCTTGGCGAAACAATTGCACGAAGACTCCATGAAATGTAGTCCAGATCCGGTCATATCCTGGTGGGACCACCAATTAAACCGGTTCTTCTTTGGCAAATCTGAAGCCCACGTTTTTCATTAAAATCTGTGGCTGCAACAGTAACAACTAATAAGGAATACAGCAATTGTCTCCAAGGGTAACCCTACCACCTGATTCTTTTTTCTCTGCCCTAAATTGTATTAGACAGACCAATTACTATACAGAGCATGAGAATAGCGCAGCCATTTTCGTGCATAAAGGGCAATAATGTCGTAAATGCCTTGACATTTGTATGCACGTACAACCGAATCTCAAAGGTTCCTTTGCTTCACCCCAGCCACCAGCATAGCACAGCACCAGGACTCACCGCCTTTCAATGTCTTTCCTCTCACTCACTCGCCGTCTTGCACCTCGTGCGTTACCTCTACCTTGTTTTAAAATGAGCCACCAGACGCAACACCTTTCAACCGCTGCTGTGAACGCCCAGTTAGCGTCACTTAAGGGACAAAACTTTATGTCCACTGCTCAGCTTTCAACGGAGCAGCTCACGGGACTTTTGGCTAAAGCGCAAGAGTTTAAAGCCACATACTCGGATCCGTTGACTAAGGCTACAGCTCCAAGACCACTCACGGGTGAAGTGTGCTCAATGATATTTCAGAAACGCAGTACGCGAACACGTATTTCTAGTGAAGTGGGAATGCATTTATTGGGTGGCAAAGGACTCTTTCTATCGTCAGATGATATTCAATTGGGTGTCAACGAAACGTTACAAGACACGGCACTTGTGCTCTCACGCTTTAATAGTCTCATCTTAGCGCGTGTATACGGCCATGATGACATTGTAGAGCTTGGTGAATTGGCTAGTGTGCCAGTAATTAATGCACTTTCAGACAAGTATCACCCATTGCAAATGTTGGCTGATTATATGACAGTCACTGAGCATTTTGGCTCCATTAAAGGCCTTACATTCGCTTGGGTCGGTGATGGAAATAATGTGCTTCATGATTATATGCTCGCGGCCCCGAAATTGGGCGCAAATATTCAAATTGCCACTCCTTTGGGGTATGAACCCGACGAAGATGTTGTAGCCGAGACAAAACGTCTTGCTGCCATGGCTGGCACGAAAATTGTCATGACATCGGATCCGATTCAAGCTGTGAAAGGTGCCAATGTCATAGCGACGGACACGTGGATCAGTATGGGTCAAGAAGAGGAAACGCAAAAGCGTCTTAAAGCTTTCGCTGGGTACCAAGTGACCACTAAAATGCTCGAACACGCTGCGGAGAATCACATTTTCCTTCACTGTTTGCCACGTCACCAAGACGAAGTTGACGATGAGGTAGGATCTTGTATGATACATATATTTTACAATTGTTCTGATTGTTTGTGCAGGTTTTCTATGGAAAACGTTCGCTGGTCTTTGATGAGGCAGAAAATCGACTGTGGACCGTCATGGCGGTATACGCTTCATTGCTAGGCAAGTTTTAGAATTGACAGTCTACTCTCACACTTTCTCTATTCAAATTACAACGATAAATTTCATTGCTTGTGGACGCTACTATAATGAATGGAGACGATTATCAATCACATCTTTTTGCATTGTTCCATGACATATTCGAATAGCTACATAAATTTAGATGCGATCCAAAAATTGAAGAGACGGATTGCTTGGATCCGTCGTTAAAGAGGTGACAGGTGACGCTTTGAAAACTAAAGTGTCTAAGTTCGGAGCTTGATGGGAGGTGAAGGTGACATCCGAGTGGTCGACAAGAATGAGATTAATCCTCTAAAGTTCATTGAACAACGCGTGGCGTCTTCATTTCCACATCTTCTTGGCCCAAGATTCACAACCAAGTACGCAACCGAACCCAACGAGTACGTAAAACATTTTTCCTTTTTCTATTTGACTCTTTTTGCTTACTTGACTGTGATAGACTTTGCATTAAGGAGTTTCTCGACAATGAAGATGTGACTCTGCTTGCATTTTCGGGAGATAACGTCGTTGCGTACATCAAAATGCCTGGTACACTGCCTCGAGGCAAAACTGTTTGCTTTACAAAGTTTCGCAAGACAACTATCACGTCCAAGAACGTTTCAATCGATGTAATGGTGAATGAAATCACTTCAAGTAGTATCGAGTATCTCGAGCGAATGATAGCTGAGATTTATCTACCACTTTTTTCAAACGTTGAAAATCAAGAAGGGTGGGGAGAAGTTGCATCGAAAGAAGTGGTGGATAAATTTCATTCATATATGGCATCTGTGTCAATCATTAATGGAGCAATTAAAGGTGAGACGTGTCTCCCACTGCCACCAATCGATGAGAAGGCGACAAATTCGAGTATGAGGGTATCTCTCTTGGAAGGATCTGTCGTGATTTGGACCAAACAGATTAAAAATGTTTTAAAACAAGACCCTGAAGATCTTCTGAAGCAAGGACTTTACCCAACACCCGATGCAGAAATCGACTTTTGGAAGCTTAAAGCTGCCAACCTTAATTCAATCTTTGACCAACTTCAGTCCGCAAATGTACGGAAAATTCTAATGGCATTAGATCGATCGAAAAGCACGTATTGTACCACTTTTGCTCGGCTTTGTAAAGAAGTTTTCACCGCTCGAATCGAAGCGAATGATAATATGAAGTATCTTCGAACACTTGAGGAGTGGTTTATACGATTGAATAATGACGAAGATTTTCCTGCTCTAATAGAGCTCTTTAAGCCCATGCTTCACATCATTCTCTTGATTTGGAAAAACTCAAAATATTACAACACATCAGCTCGTCTTGTTGTTCTGATGCGTGAGATCTGCAACTCGCTTATCAATCAAGCGCGTAAATACTTGAGTGGCGAGCTCATTTTTGCTCTCATTGATCAAGACGAAGCAGGACAAGCTGTGGAACAGCTCAAGATTACAATCCAAGTATGTTCAGCTTTTAAAAGCACTTACTTGGACTACAAAGCGACTGCAAATGCGGAATGTCCTTCCAACCCATGGCGTATTCAAGGCAATGCGCTCTTTGTTCGTCTTGATACGTTTCTTGAACGTTGTCACGATATTCTCGATCTCACTCAGACAATTTTACAGTTTAGTAAACTTTCCAAGATCGAAGTGGGTGGTACCAAGGGAAAGACCTTAACATTGAGCGTGCAGCAAATCCATTCTGACTTTACAGATGCTGTGAACACGTTTAAACGTGTCTCTAAGGATATTATGGACGTTGGGGCTGTTAGATTCGACGACAATTTTTACGATTTTCGCTGCAAAATTAAAGAACTTGAACGTCGTCTCGGATCAGTGCTCACCCAAGGCTTTGATGACTGCTCTACTATCATCGGCCGCTTTAAACTTCTCGATTCGTTTGAAGGTCTTCTAGATCGCCCGATCATTCAAGATGAACTGGAAAAGAAACATGTGGCGCTTGTTCAGAGCTATGGACATGACTTGAAACTCGTCCAAGAACTCTTCTTACAGTGTCGTGACGCTCCTCCTATTAGTCGAAATCTACCGCCAGTAGCCGGTGCTCTTACATGGTGTCGTGGACTTGTTGAACGAATTGAACATCCGATGAAAAAACTTCGCGAATTAAACCAAAATGTCATGGAGCGAGAAGAAGCGAAAGAAGTGTACAAAGTTTATGGGACAATCATGGCATCTTTGCAAGAGTATGAGAATCAAAAAGTGGAAGAATGGAGTCGAGACGTCGAAGCGTCTTCCGAAGTGAAGCTTAAGCTGCCACTCCTGATACGTCATCCTCAAACTCGCTGTTTACGTGTAAACTTTGACCCGGCATTAGAAAAATTGTTGCGTGAAATTAAGTACTTGAAATTGCTTCATATTAATGTTCCACCTTCCGCTCTCCAGATCTCGGCCAAAGAAGAGACTTTTCGAAAGTATCGAGAAGAACTCATGTACATTGTCGAACCGTATAATGCCATGATTGAAGGCATTCATCCTTTAGAAGAGCCTTTAGTGCGTCGACATATTCAAACTATTGATGCCTGCGCTGGACGAGGAATCAAAGATCTGAATTGGAAGAGTTCAGGAATTGACACGTTTATCGAAGAGTGCCGGAAGGCGGTGGAAGGTGCGAATGAAATCGTGATGAATCTCAAAGAAAATCTGGGCGTTATTCAAGATACACTTAGTGCGTGGAATGTTTCACTCTTAGAACGTCAAGCAAAGCCTGTAGCTGTAACTGAACATGAGCGTCAGCACAAGAGTTACATTATCCAGCGGACTTTAAAGATCCGTGAAGGTGCGACTGAGATTCACCGACGTTTGAAGCAATCACATTCGGGCATTGTTGGCGTTAATAGTGCACAGTGGAAAGCTTATGTTGATTATGTGAATAACATTGTTGTGAATGGACTTGCACGCGTCATTTGTTCATCGCTTGAGTTCCTTGCCAAGCAATTAGACCCAACAGGAGGCAAAGACGATCGAGAGATGTTAGGATCCAAATCCAGCAATAATTCTGCGAATCGCTTACCAATGCTCGAGATCAAACTTGATCTCATTGCCAATAGTGTGCAATTTAATCCAAGTATTGGTGAAAATCATGGCAAAGGACTCAGTGACACAATTCAAATGTGGATCAACTCATTCTTTAATGTCGTAACAGCGGTCAAGCGACTTGATTCGGATGGTGGAGGATCATATTTAAAAGAAATGAATTCAGATATGGCGATCTCAATGCTGCTAGCGACGATTAGTGATTATGAAGAAGAAAATGAAGCAATGCTTTTGACATTCAAACGAAAGTATGACGGATACAAATATCTCTGGGAGTCCGACATGTCTGCTCAATTTCAAACTTTTCTGGCTACTGCAACGATACCAAGCACTCATGAGAACGCAGAGATGTTAAACCTAGCCAAGTTTGATACGGAAATTACAAAATACGAACAAGTGGCGAGTGAAATTGAAAATCTGACGACACCTACTGACATTGGCTGGCTTCGTGTAAACTCACAGCCAATCAAGACAGCAATGCTTACGTGGGTGAGTAAGTGGATTTATCAGCTCACGTCGTATCTGTACCAGCATGTCGTCAGCAGATTATCGGAACTTCATGACTTCATGGAGACTGTAATCGGAGGATTGGAGGAACAAGTAGCAGAGAAGAACAATGATGCATTAAAACGAGTGATGACCCACATTCGAGATGTTCGAAAGCAAATGGGCGCAACAAACGAGTTCTTTGATCCTTTACGAGAAGCGTTGCATTTACTTAAAATACATGGTATGAATGTTGAAGATACAAAGATTGGTGAGCATGCTGTTCAAGATTATTTAGAGGCCGCTCCAATGCAATGGGAAGCGACTGTCAACAAGATGTTTAAGAAAAAAGAAGAAATTATGCCATTGCAAATGGCTGAAGTCGAGTCAATTAAGGAGGAGCTAGAGTCCTTTTTTCTGGATATGCGAAAATTTCGTAATGTCTTTCGAGCGACGGCACCTTTTAGCTTTCAAGGGTCTCCAAATGATGCGTACATACAAATCAACACCTTTGCGTTGGCATTACATAATAAGATGCAACAAGCTCGTGAGTTTAACGAATTGGAAGAACTATTTGAGCTTCAAGTTTCGAAGTACCAAGAGACGGCGGATACACTGTACGAATTGCAACAGCTTAAAAAGTGCTGGGATTTAAAAGATTTGGTCTTAGCGACATTTGATAATTGGAAAACAATCATGTGGACGAGTATTCAAACCGATACGTTCGAAGGATACACTCGAGCATTTATGAAGCAACTGAAGATGGAAGCATCCGAAAACCAGATTGTTAAAGGCTGGCAAGTATACAAAGATACTGAACAGATCGTTAAAAATATGGCAACAGTGCTACCATTAATCAATGATTTGCATTCGGAAGCGATGCAAAATCGTCATTGGAAAGCGCTGTCTACCATTTGTCATGTTAAGGCTATTGATCCAAAAGATCCGAAGCTTAGCTTTGCTGATCTTTTAAAACTTGATCTCCACTTGCATGTGGATGACGTGGGTGAAATTGTTGAGACAGCAAATAAAGAAAAAAAGATTGAAAAAAAGTTAAAAGTGATCGAAGAATTGTGGCAAAGGCTAACTCTTGAATACGTACCTCACAAAGATTCGGGCACTTTTATCGTTAAACCTTCAGAAGAAGTAGTCGAGTCTCTCGAAAGCAACCAACTTGAATTACAGACGATGATCGGGATGGGAAAGTTTGTCGAGTTTTTCAAAGATCGTGTACTGGCTTCTCAGAAAATATTGGGTCATGTCGAAGAAGTGTTAAGAGAATGGGTATCGGTTTCGAAACAATGGGCTTCACTTGAAAGCATCTTTTTGAGCTCGCCAGATATTCGGAATCAGCTACCTGACGATACCCGAACATTCGAGTCTATTGATTCAAATTTCAAGGATTTAATGAAAAATGCAATAATGGAACCGAATGTTGTTGCAGCCTGTTCAGTTGATAATCGTCTAGAGTCACTGAAAGAGATGACGTCAATGCTTGAAAAATGTCAGAAATCGTTAAACGAATATCTGGACAAGAAAAAAAAGATTTTTCCTCGCTTTTACTTTGTATCAAATGTGGCACTGCTCGAGATTTTATCTAATGGCAACAGTCCAAAGAAAATCATGCCGTTTCTTGGCGATTGCTATGATTCACTGTGTAATCTCATTTTTGAAGACAACTCACCAAACACTGCACATACAATGGTAGCAAAAGATGGCGAGGAGGTCAAGTTACCAAAAGTATTTGTCATGGCTGGTGCCGTTGAAAGCTGGCTTAATGAATTGACTGAAGCAATGCGACATTGTTTACGGAAAGAAATGCACGACGCGGTTGAAACTGCTGCAAATTGGGACGTTGACAAACCGCGTCATCAATGGCTCTTTGATTATCCAGCGCAAGTCGTACTGAACGCGACTCAAATTTACTGGACAGAAGAAACTGAAATGGCATTGGAAGAATTCGAAAATGGACAGGAAGATTCGGTTAAGAGATACTTAACAGTCTGCAATCAACGCTTAGAACAACTTATCACTTTGGTGTTAGGAAATCTGTCGAATTCAGATCGTTGCAAGATCATCGCGTTGATTACGCTTGATGTTCACTCTCGTGATGTTGTAAAAAAGCTCGTTGATGAAAAGGTCGAAGGACCACTAAGTTTTATGTGGCAACAGCAACTTCGATTTATTTGGCGACAAGAGAATTACGATGTTGATATTCGCATCACCGACTTTCGTTCCAAGTATTCTTATGAATGGATTGGAAACACTGGTCGTCTAGTTATCACTCCACTGACTGATCGCTGTTATATTACACTAACAATGGCGTTAAGACTGTTTTTAGGAGGAGCTCCTGCTGGTCCTGCAGGGACTGGAAAGACCGAGACAACAAAAGATTTGGCGCGAGCAATGGCCTTATGTTGCTATGTCTTTAATTGTTCAGATCAAATGAATTACCAAACTATGGCCGATATCTTTCGTGGATTGTGCCAAACTGGTACTTGGGGTTGCTTTGATGAATTTAATCGCATTAACATTGAAGTCTTAAGTGTCGTGGCTACTCAAGTCAAGTGTATTCAAGATGCTATTGTACTCAACGCTGTTCCTGGAAATCGCGAACCAAAGTACCAGTCTCTACCTGCTGGGACACCACCTGTTATTGTTGGCGAGTTTGAATTTATGGGAGCTTCTGATCGCATCACGCTTATTCCAACATGTGGCTTTTTCATTACAATGAATCCTGGCTACGCTGGTCGTACCGAGTTGCCAGAAAATCTCAAAGTGCTCTTTCGATCTTGTGCGATGATTCGACCCGATTTGAAGCCAATTTGTGAAAACATGCTCATGTCGGAAGGATTTCAGCAAGCTCGTACATTGGCTATCAAGTTTGTGACACTTTACGAGCTAAGTAGCGAGCTCTTGTCGAAACAATTTCACTATGATTGGGGTCTTCGAGCTGTAAAGTCTGTGCTTCGTGTTGCTGGAATTTTAAAACGCGCTGAACCGGATGTTGAGGAAGATAAAGTGCTGATGCGAGCATTACGAGATTTTAATACGCCAAAGATCCCGTATCACGATACACCAATCTTTCTTCGTTTGATAAACGATCTCTTTATTGGCGTGGAAGTGGCTCCAAAGGTAAACTTGGGGCTACGAGATAAGGCAGTAACAGTGTGCAAAGCAAACAATTTGCAGCCTGATGACTCATTCATTCTTAAGATTTGTCAATTACAGGAATTAATTGATGTGCGACACTCTGTCATGCTTCTTGGTCCAGCAGGATGTGCGAAGACTACAACGTGGCAAGCTTTGGCTAAGTGTTGGAATCTTGGAAAAGACAAGAAAGTTTGTGTATATGAGACGTTGAATCCTAAAGCTGTTACTTCAGACGAACTGTATGGATACATGACATTGTCTAAGGATTGGAAAGATGGAGTGTTATCGATTATTATGCGTGGTATGGCCAAAAACTACTCGGAACAGGGTTTCTATGAAAGTCAGACATACAAGTGGGTTGTACTTGATGGAGATATTGATGCTGTGTGGATCGAGTCAATGAACACGGTCATGGACGACAATAAAGTGTTGACCTTGGTGTCAAATGAACGGATTCCACTGAGTAATGCCATGCGAATGGTTTTTGAGATTAATTCATTGAAAAATGCTACTCCTGCTACTGTCTCTCGCGCTGGAATTCTCTTTATCAATGAAATTGATGTCGGATGGCGGCCATTTATGGAATCGTGGGTGGCTAAACGAGAAGAAGAAGTGGAACGAACATATTTGCCAGGACTTTTCGACAAATATATAGATCCGATCTATGATCTCATGCGAAAAGGATACAAGCAAGTAGCCCCCGTGCGTTTAATTAATCAAGTATCCACCATTTGCTTCTTACTGGAAGGGTTATTGCAAAATATTGCAATTGAAAAGAAAAGTCCAGACGTTATGGAGTCGATCTTTGTTTTCTGTGCAACGTGGGCTTTTGGCGGACCATTAATTGTTGATAAAAGTATCGACTATCGCAAGAATTTTCATGAACTCTGGTGTTCAACATTCACTACCGTCAAGTACCCAAAAGAAGGATTATGTTTTGATTACTTTTACAATCTCGAATCAGGTGATTTTGAAAGCTGGAGCTCCAAAGTCCCGAAATACTCACCGAGTTCCATTGGAAACGGACCAGCTGATACGCCTTTTAACTCAATTGTTATCAGTACTAACGATTCGGTACGCATTCGTTTTCTTGTTGAGACTCTCGTTGCTCGTCAGCGACCTGCAATGCTCGTAGGTGGTAGTGGAACAGGCAAGACAACAATTCTTAAGAACTTTTTACGTGATTTAGACGATGATATGCTCTATTCAACGATCAATATGAATTATTACACGGATTCAGCCAAATTACAGCAACAATTGGAATCAGTCATTGACAAACGTTCGGGACGAATGTTTGGTCCTCCAGCCACGAAAAAGTTAATTTACTTTATCGATGATTTGAATTTACCATATATTGAAACGTATGGAACACAAAATTCCTTAGCACTGTTGCGTCAACACATGGATTATAAGACATTCTTTGATCGAACAGACTTGGGCTTTCGAAAGGAAGTCGTGGATGTCCAATACTTGTCAGCTATGAATCCTACAGCTGGTTCTTTTGTGATTGACGAACGATTGCAACGTCATTATGCTCTTTTTGCTTGTATGATGCCTGGTCGAGAAGATTTAAAAACGATTTACAATTCAATCTTAAAAGGACATCTGCAAAGTGCCAGCTTTGTAACACCAGTGGTTGCTATTTGTGATCACATAGTAAATGCATCGATATTGTTACATGAAGAAATGGTCAATCGATTCCTTCCAAGCGCCACGAAGTTTGTTTATAATTGGAATATGCGTGAATTGTCAAATATTTTTCAAGGACTTACAAGATCAAAAGGTGAGTTTTTTCCAACTCCATTATCATTCGCTCGACTCTGGGTACACGAAGCAACTCGCGTGTTTTGCGATCGTTTAATCAATGAAGAAGACATTTTGAAATTTAATGATCGTATTCGAGACGTCATGAAAAAGACATTACCAGAGTTGGATCAAATAGCTCTTTTTGATGATCAAACTTCATCGTCTTCTGGCGTCGACGACAATGCGCCAGTTTCCGTGAATATCTTCACGACATTTGCAACTCCAGTTGCTGGTTCAGACAGTGGTTACATACCTGTGACTTCCATGAAGGCATTGAATAAAGTGTTGATAGAACAGCTTGATGACTACAATTCCAAGTATTCTATGATGAATTTAGAGCTTTTTGATAATGCTATGGAACATGTTACGCGTATTTGCCGTATCATTGGCAATCCAGGAGGAAATGCAATGCTCATTGGTGTGGGTGGAAGCGGTAAACAATCCCTCTCTCGTCTTGCATCTCACATTTGTGGTTTTGATGTGCGTCAATTGTCAGTTACGTCAAATTTTCGTATTGAAGATTTAAAAGAAAGTTTGGCCGAAATGTTTAAAATTGCGGGTGTTCAAGGATTGCCTCTTGTGTTTCTCATTACTGACTCACAGATTGTCAACGAACGATTTCTGGTTTATATAAACGATATGCTCTCATCCGGTTGGATTCCTGATTTGTTTCCAAGAGAAGATTTGGATGGATTGTTAGGAAGTTTACGTAGCGAAGCTAAAGCAAATGGCGTTCCAGATGCTATGGATGCTCTCATGGACTTTTTACTATTGCGAATTCGTCTTAATTTTCGTGTCATCATGTGTTTTTCTCCTGTTGGCGCTGTCTTTCGTGTGCGAGCACGTCGTTTTCCAGGTCTTGTCAATTGTACTGTTATCGATTGGTTCCACCCGTGGCCTCGTGATGCTTTAGTGCGTGTAGCTTCCAGTTTTCTCGAGAAATTTGACGATGTTGGTGACACTTCATTGCAGCGTAACTTGGCAAATCACATGGCTGATGTGCACATTTCAGTCACCGAAATGAGCAAGACGTACTTTGAGACACAGCGTCGATACAATTATGTGACTCCTAAAAGTTTTCTTGAACTCATTAGTTTCTACGAAGTATTGCTGAAGCAGCGCAAAGAAGATATACAACGTCAAATTTCACGCCTGGATGACGGTCTTTCCACACTGCGAAAAACATCAGCTGATGTAGCAGAATTGCAAGTTGATCTCAAACATACAATGGTGAAGGTTGCCGAGAAACAAGCATCGACGGATCAATTACTAGAGCAAATGGGACGCGAAAAAGCCGGAGCTGAAGTACAACAAGAAAATGCGAACAAGGAGAAGCTCAAGGCCGAAGCAGCTAGCGCAGCTGCAGCCGAGCTCGCAGCTGAAGCTGAAAAAGAATTGAGTCAAGCAAAACCAGCCATGGATGCTGCAGCTGCAGCTGTCGATTGTCTATCAAAACCTGCTATTACAGAACTGAAAAGTCTCCCAAAACCACCAGCTGGAGTCGACAATGTCACGAAAGCATGTCTCATTTTGGTTGAAAAAGAATATAAAAATCACAAATGGGATCGTGCGAAAAAGATGATGAATAATGCTGGTGCATTCTTAGATGCTTTGAAAGTTTTCAAAGGGGAAGACATTCCTGAAGCCGATATTGCACGAATTGAGCCATTGATTGCGGACCCAGAATTTACTGCTGAAAAAATGGCATCTAAGAGTTCTGCTGCAGCGAATATTTGCTCTTGGGTTGTAAATATCTATACGTTTAATCGCATTTACGTGCGTGTGAAACCTCTTATGGACTCACTCGAGACTTCAAAGAAGAAAAAAGAAGAGGCTGAAGAACAATTAGCACGTGCGATGGGACAAGTAGCAGAAGTACAAAAGCGACTGGAAGCTCTTGAACATACCTTATGTCAAGCAACAGAGGAGAAACTCAAAGTGGAAGAAATGAAAGAAACGTGTGAAAATCGATTGTTGTTAGCGGGGAAATTAGTGAATGGCTTGGCAAGTGAAAATGAGCGATGGGGAGTTGAGATTGAACAGCTTAAATACTCCGGTGTAATGGTTGTTGGGAATTCTTTGTTGGCTGCTGCATTTGTCTCGTATATTGGTGCATTTGATCAAACAGTGCGGAAAGAATTATGGCAAAATACATGGTTTCCAGATCTAGTAGCAAAAGGAATTCCTATTACTGGAGGAATTGATCCTTTGTCCATGTTGACAACGGAAGGCAAGAACGCTAAAATGATGAGTGAAGGACTACCGGCTGATCGTATTTCCATTGAAAATGGTGCTATTATCACGAGCTGCAAGCGCTGGCCACTTGTGATTGATCCGCAATTGCAAGGTATCAAATGGCTCCGAGAAAAAGAAAAGGAGCGTGGCCTTGTGGTGTTGCAGCTAAGTCAGAATCAGTGGCTACGAAAGACTGAGACGGCAATTGTAAATGGCCACGTTCTCATTATTGAAAATATTGGAGAAGAGATTGATGCGACGCTAGATCCTGTTCTTGGACGTGCTGTCTACAAGAAAGGTTCGAATCTTTTCTTGAAATTGGCTGGTGAAGAGGTTCAATACGATCCAAATTTTTTCATGTATTTACAAACAAAGCTATCGAATCCCCACTATAAACCCGAAATCGCTGCTCAATGTACGTTGATTAACTTTATTGCTACAGAAAGTGGTCTCGAGGATCAATTACTCGAAAAAGTTGTTAAAAAAGAACAGCCAAAACTTGAAGCACAGAAGCAAGAACTCGTGCTTGCTTTTCAGAAATTCAAGATCGATCTTGTGGAATTAGAAGATCAATTGCTTGAACGTCTTGCCAATGCGCCCGATGATATTTTGAGTGACGTTCCTCTAATCGAAAGTTTAGAAGAAACGAAGAAAAAGGCGACAGATATCTCGATTTCAGTGAAAAAGAATCAAGAGACGGAAATTGTGATCAACAATACTCGAGAATTGTATCGTCCAGTGGCAGCAGAAGGTGCTATGCTTTACTTTCTACTCACGACATTAAGTGCTATTGATCACATGTATCGCTATAGTCTCGACTCGTTCATCACTTTTTTTTACAGCTCGATTGATCGTGCAACACAGAGTGACAAACAAAGCGAACGTGTCTTAAATCTGCGTGAATCACTGCGAATTACAATCTTTACATGGGTCTCGCGAGGTCTTTTTGAAGCACACAAGCTCATCTTTCTCTCTCAACTTACGTTTAATCTCATGCGCCGTGGCATCTTAGGTGACGATGTGCGCGTTCACGAAACGTACATGCAATTTCTATTGCGTGGTCCGAAAAAAGTAGCACCAGGCGGCGAAGGAGAAGAGGCGAATCCCATTGAATGGTTGCCGTCAGCTCAATGGAATGCAATTACCATGTTAGCACAACTGGATGAATTTCAAAAACTGCCACAAGATTTAAAAGAAGCATCATCGCGTTTTCGTGAATGGTACAATCATGTGACCCCCGAGACAGAAAAACTGCCATTAGATTGGGCAGGACTTGATCGCACTCCTTTCTTGAAGCTTTTAGTAGTACGATGTTTGCGTCCTGATCGAATGACAGTGGCAGTGAATGAATTTGTACGTCAAGTTCTACCTAACGGAAGTAGTTACTGCGATTGCGATTCAGCCTTAAATGCTTTGCAAGTGATGGATGCTTCGTATTTAGATTCAACCCCAACAACTCCTTTATACTTTATCTTGTCTCCAGGCGCTGATGTTGTAGCAGGAGTGGATAAACTCAGTATTAAATATGGTTTTGAGCGTGGTGTAAGTTACCACAATGTTTCCATGGGTCAAGGTCAAGATGTGTTCGCAATGGATCGATTGGAAGTAGCTCATCGAAATGGTCATTGGGTTATCCTTAATAATATTCATCTCATGCCTCGTTGGTTATTGACTCTTGAAAAGAAATTGGATGAGTTTGCGCTAGAGGGTTCTCACAAAAACTTTCGCTTATTTTTGACCTCCGATCCATCGATGTCGATTCCAATCGGAGTTTTAAATCGATGTATCAAATTGACAAATGAACCGCCTTCTGGATTAAAAGCAAATCTAAAACGAGCTTTTGTTAGTTTTCCAAAAGAATATATTGAAGAAGCAGAAGGAAAAGTCAAGTCAATTCTCTTTGGACTATGTCACTTTCATGCTGTGCTCATGGAACGTAAAATGTATGGACCATTGGGTTTTAATATGATGTATCCCTTTTCATTAGGAGATTTACGCGATTCAGCAATTTGCTTGCAAAACTACTTGGAAAGCTCAGCAGGTGGGAAAATACCATGGGCAGATCTTCGTTATATCTTTGGAGAAATCATGTATGGTGGTCATATTGTAAATGATTTTGATCGGTTGTTAGCCAATACATATCTAGGTTTTTACATGCGTGACGAATTATTAGACGAGATGGAAATGTTTCCTTACGTTGGCGATGAAAGAGGTCCGTCATTTCTGTGTCTTGCTCCATCGTCTTATGATAAATATCTCGAACACATTGAAACGGAACTCAAAACCGATTCTCCTTTAGCTTTTGGACTTCATCCAAATGCTGAGATTGATTTTCGTACAACCCAATCGGAAAATCTATTCCGTACTTTAATGGAATTGCAACCTCGAGATGCTGCGACTGGAGATGCTGCTATGAGTCCATTAGAACTAGCAAAGCAAGGATTAGAAATGGTTATGTCACGAATTGGCGAGAAAAAGTTTGACTGTGATGAAATTTCTCGAAGTTTGGAAGAATTAGGACCATACCAGAATGTTTTTATTCAAGAATGTGAAGCTATGAATGGATTGCTGGCTGAAGTGGTACGTTCACTCAATGAATTATCACTCGGATTTGCTGGCGAATTGACAATGTCGGATGCAATGGAAGCCGTTCAAGAATCGTTGTTTCTTGATCGTGTACCAAAATCGTGGGAAAAACTTGCTTTTCCTTCCATGCGTCCACTTGGATCATGGTTAACAAATCTTGAAGCTCGACTTCAGCAACTTGAAGAATGGACGCAAAACCCCGTGGATATTCCACGTGTTACTTGGATATCAGGTATGTTTAACCCGCAGTCGTTTTTAACAGCTATAATGCAAGTGACGGCTCAAAAGAATCAATGGGAGTTAGATAAACTTGTGATTCAAACAGACGTGTTGAAACGACGCAATGGTGAAGTTGATACTTCATCACGCGATGGAGCGTATATTCATGGATTGTATCTCATGGGTGCCCGTTGGGATGTCCAGAATAATACGGTCGATCGATCACATCCGAAGGAAATGTTCTCCCCAATGCCAATTATAAACTGCAAAGCTGTTGCTGCTGATAAACTTGATGTGAAAGGATCTTATGTATGTCCGTGTTATAAGACTGAGTTCCGTGGACCTACGTACGTTTTTTCAGCACAACTTAAGTCCAAGTCACCACCTGCACGATGGATTTTGGCAGGCGTTGCCCTCATCATGGACATTGTTTAGAGGGACGACGTATTTCTTCTATATTCCTAAGAGAAAGAATCATAAACACAAAAGAAGTAGATTCCAAATCTTCTCTTACTGTTTAGCATTCACTTCAATCGTATAGTCATAATCAACAGTCGGAATGACTGACTGAATAAATTTCAAAAACAAAAACAAATACTGATCACTTCGAATAGTGTGAGCCACTTGATCCTCCGTCTCTGTTTCACCAGGTCTGCGCATCTTTAAATTAGCGATGATACGCTTCATCACAGCACCATGTTGACATGGATGGATAGACGCATGAAGTAAAGAGCTACGGTGGGGATGTACTTCCATCGTTACTGTACGATTCGCATAATCTTGCATAATATCCTCAAACATTTGATCACCAGTGAGTGGCACGTTGCATTCATTGTAGCCAAATAGCCACACACGTGGAGTTTGATAGTACTTGTCATAAGTAATCGACAAATCGTACGTACGGGTACGTAAGATCGCGTCGTCTACGTCATCAGGCTCACTAGCGACGAGGTAGGTATGAGATGATGAATCAAGAGTTGCTTCATCTTCTACAAGATTATCTTCTTCTTCATATGTGCTCAAATCGTGAATCTCTGACTCAATCGCAGAGTCAGCTTTGAAGTGTTCGTCCACGATAGCACCTAGAATTCCTCCCTTTATATCGCTACTACAAGCTTGCGACTTATCCCCTTGTGAGATTGAAACTCCTCCCATCTCATCACTCAAATCGGTCACAGAATTTGTATTGCCACCTTCAACAGCGTACGAAGATGTCGCCACCCATTCATCCTCGCCTTCAACAGCTTCCTCAGTCTGATAGCTTTGCTCTAGCGACGTGACACGACGGCGGCATGGTACTAAAGATACAATATATACAATTAATTACATCAATATTAATGACACGAGTAATAAATAAACGAAAGACCATTGCGTGTGATAAGAAATTGCTTGTCCACTGGGAGATACGATCGTCTCTGACTCGATTCGCCGCTTTCCCAACGCCATGTTGGACACTTGTAAACAAGTAAATCACCAGCTTTTACAAATTCTTCTGGTGTAAGTAATCCTTTGTCTTCAAATGACGACTCAGTCAATACCGGCGTCAAGTATTCACGTACGCCATGGAATAAACTCTGCATCGTTTTAGCTTCTTGGTTTTCTTAATTTGGGAATCCAATTCTTCTTCAAGACCAAATATCAATAGATAAACGGACTAAATCATATATTTGAAAATAACTAGATGTTCGTACCGGTATTGATCACGTCTATCAATGCTATTGTCACGACGTCATCTCATGAGCTTCTCGGTTCACAGCTTTAAGACACAACTAGCCGTAGATCAGCTCACTATCTGCCTTTCAAAGCATTTTAATCGCCTAACACATCCTGACCCTTTAATTGAGCAACAAAAGACGCAACACTGGAATGATTTAAAGCATCAAGCACCAGGACTGTTTAATGCGTCAAAATTTCGTCTGCAAACGCTCTCAGAGGATCAATTCTCGTCATCATTGCGTATGGAATGGGGTTTGACTGACTACGCATCGTATCTGGGCACATGCTGCTCGAAATTATGTCCGCAGCTACTGCAAGACGGTGAAAACTTGTATAATGATCGATTTGTATTTCTTTCACGAAAAGTGGGTGTCGCTGCGGTTTTAGAAACTACAGACGCTCAAGTGGTACTGATTAAGCGCAGCAACAAAGTTGGTTTGTATCAGAATCTATATGATACTCCTGGGGGACATCCCGAACCGATGAATATTGAGTTAACCGAAGAAGTTTTGCAGAAGTTGGAAGATCAAGGGAATAAGCTAAAAAGGATGCAATTTGAGGACGCAGCAAAGCAGGAATTCTATCAATCCATTGCAAATGAAGTGTATGAAGAGGTGAATCTTTCTTTACAGCAGCAAGAACCGCCGATGCTGATGGGCGTCGTCTTGCAAACCGATGCGTGTACACCAAGTTTTGGTAAATAACCAGATACTTTTGAGAAATGTGTTTTGACGAGAGACTGATAGAAGAGTTTTGGTGTTATATAAGCTTTTTACATCAAGGCACAGTGCTCAGCAGCAGAGCTGATAGAAATGTATCGGGCTGGACCTTCCGACAAGTTTGAATCGGTAGACCTTAAACTATTGTCTGCCGATAGTTTGCTGGCAGAGAGATCGACTTTATTGTAAGGGATGCTGGTAGATTTTTTAGTGCTGAAATGGAAATCTAATGATTGTTGTAATGTTTTATTGCTATAGACATGGATTAGAATTAACACCATCGGCGGAGGGTACATTACAGTTGTGGAAGCAGCATACGCTGCAATTTAATTAGAGAATTAATAAATGATGTGCGTAGGTCGAAATAATATTAAGAACACAGTATAGTACCAGAACAGCACCAATAATTAATAGTAACTTTACGTAATTTGCTCTTTGTGACCTTTAAATCACAAAAAACGAAATATACATCTTGGTTTTGGATACTTGTACGCCGCTTCAGTCAAATCTCATTTTGTGATCGTTCTACCCTCGGATCATGGTGTTTGTAACTCTCAAGTACATTATTATTGGAGACTCCGAAGTGGGTAAATCATCACTTCTCCTACAATTTACAGAGCAACATTTTCAGCCCATTCATGACTTAACTATTGGAGTTGAATTTGGCGCCAAGTTACTCGAAGTAGACGGTCGAAAGGTTAAATTAGAAATTTGGGATACAGCAGGCCAAGAAACGTTTCTATCGATCACTCGAAGTTACTATCGGGGAGCAGATGGAGCACTACTTGTTTATGATGTTGGACGGAAGGAAAGCTTTGAACATTTGGGTCGTTGGCTACAAGAATGCCATCAAAATTGTCATAATGACGATGTGGCTATCATGGTCGTAGGAATGAAATGTGATATGGCTGAAAGTGAGCGTGAAGTAACTGAAGAGGAAGGACGTAGTTGGGCAGAATCTCATGGTCTCTTTTTTATTGAAGCTTCAGCCAAGACAGCGTTAAATGTTGAACAGGTAGATTTGGACTTAAGTCTGCAATGGCTTTGAATTGGGACTAAAGACTATTTGCGTTTGACGAATTTTTAGGCATTTACACAGACAGCGACAACAATTTTACGCGATTTTGACTACTCGAATCGTCAAATGCGCAAGATGTCAGGCGTCAATCGTGTGTCAATAGACACAAATGTGGAGCGAATGCAGCAGACACAGTCGTCGTGTTGTGGGTAATTCACACCTCAAGGTCGTGAGTACAAATAATTCACAATTTAGTCTTTTTCTATGAACATTCAAATCAAAGTCTATCAAATAGCTGACACAATTCATGTCCTTAGCGAGACAAATGCACATCTGTACGTCTACTCGCGGTCTTATCCAAAAGTTCTTGTACCCACTCCCCGATTAAATTATTCCCAGTTGCTAGATAATGCGCATAATGTGTATGCAAACATTTCACATTTGTAAACTCACGGATACCAGCAATTCCCACATCACGGAGAACAAACTCCCATCGCCGATGTTGTATCAGTTTTAAATCATGAGCAGTCATCATATGCCAGCGTTGCTCTGCATACTCACGGTGACTTTGTACCATTCGCTGTAGAAGTTCGATATATCATACTGGTTAAATATGTCATGTCTTGGGCTACATTTATTTGGGTATAACGTACCTCTCTCGCACTTTGATCCGCATCCAATCGCTGCTGTAACATCAAGACATATTGTTGGTCTTCAAGTATTGACACTTTAGCCTTGAGTTCAGTCGATGCTAGCCAATAGATTGTTGGAAATGGCTCAACTTTAGCCCGTTGTTTCTTCTTGTACGCATCCTCGGCATTACGCAATGGATAAAGTAATAACGCAGCAGGACGATGGTCTTTCGACTCTTGAACACGCGACGTATGTCCATTGCTGTCAACATACGCACAAACTCTAACAAGATTATTGGGTACGAATCCCAACTCGTTTTGTACTAGGGCAAACTCAGTATCAGAAGCTTCACAAGGCACACCTTCGTGTACATCGTCACTAAGTTCGCACGTCATTAGACTAGACAGAAAAACCTGCAACAACCAATGACATGAATTTCATGCAGTTTAGTGACTGCATCCATGTACTCTGAAAAGCCGCGATCATTTGAATCATTGTATCAAAATGGATTCACTTAAGGCGTTGGACATGGAGCATCGCTCTGGTATTTCCCACGAAGAAGTTGAAGAGTTTGCGAATCGTATGGATATGGTACACGACTGTTATTTGATTGAATGCACGAAAAGAAGCTCACTATTATTAAAATTATGGATAGATTTCGAAAGCTATGGATGAGATCAAGAATGGCACGTTTGATCCTCTACAGTGCAAGGTATGAAGGATAAAGTTGAACATTGTGAAGTAATATGTTGAAAATGCTCAATTGTACGATAGATTCCGGGGTATAAAACGCCTGAGCAAGAGGAAGTTGAACGCAAAGCGCAATTAAAACGAGAAGACGAACGTTGTAAGCGAGAGGCTGAACGAAAACGAAAGGAGAAACAAGAAGAACATGAGAATTGGTGGCGTAGAGCAAAACTACGATTTTCAATCGAAGATACGGAAGTAATTGATGAGACAAATGACAAGATGAGTAAGAGTAAACGGTGGGCCAATCGTATCCTTGCAGCCTACAAAACACGTGACGCAAATGACTACTCCCTATGGAATCGATGGGAACCCGAAGATCCTGTTACCTTGCAAGAAAAAGCTGAGCGAGAAAACGAACTGGAAAAACTGCGCAATCGTGAGTTTGAAACCCAAAATCCTGATTTTTGTGACCAATTCAAAAAGGATATGGACGAGCGACAAAAGTCTCAGAACGAAAAAACTCGTCTTGCCGAGCGTGAGTTAGTTGATTGTCACTAATGTCATCTTCCTTCATACCATCTAATGGTGACATTTTATCTTGTAGAATTAAAACAAAGAGGCAATGGATTTTACAAGAAAAAAGAGTACATGAATGCGATCAAGAACTATAAAGACGCACTATTGGCCTCACCTTTCAACGTAGCAATCCTTGCGAACATTGCACAATGTTATTTGCGACTTGAAGAATATGACGAATGTATCGAATTTTGTACACGTACGTTGTTTCTTGATCCAAAATATATCAAAGCATTATCTCGTCGTGCCACTGCATGGCATCATCAAAAGAAATTTCAAAAAGCTGCTGATGACATGAAAAAAGCTTTGGAGCTTGATAAGGAAAATGTTGATATTATTGAACAGCATTCTATTATTGTTGGCGATTATGAAGACTTAATGACGAAGCAGGAGCTTGAAATGACGTTGCAGCGTGTTGAAATGACAAAAGACGGGGCTCATGCACTCGCATCAGAACCATCTTCTCTTGACGAATTAAGATTCTATTTGAATATGATTCAAAAAATGAATGAACATACAGTTAGTGATAAATCAAGTTACGATCGAGTCCACGACGCGTGGGTCGCTTACGACTTAGTTTTGCCGATAATCAAGGCAAATGACCATGTTCGTACGATCTTTAGAACTTCGGGTGAGATGGACAAACTCTGTGCTCGAATTTCGACTGCATTGCAATTTCCAAACGAAGTTAATGATGGTACCCGTCAGCATACTGAAACAACTATTTTGAGTGCGATGATTAATTGTGCGACGGCTGCAGTAGCCAACACTCCACGCAATCAAGTGATATTGTTTCGCAATGAAGACTTTCGGCAGCATCTTTTGACATACTTTAAAGTCTTAAGTGCAACATCATTTGACAGAATCATTCAGTCAAGTATCCTTTGCTTTCTAGAACAAGTGGTTGAGTTGAAAAGCTGGAAAAACGAAATTTTAGCATCGAACAATATCATCTCTTCACTTCTTGCAGCTCTTTGTCTACCCGTTACTGTGAATGCCTCAAGTGATGAAAATACAGCAGGAATGACCATTACTCTAGCTGGAGCAAGCATCTGCTTCACTTTAAGCAGTGAGATTGCTGGAATCCAGACATTTACTCGTTGTGGCTGTAATTGTCTTACCGCCATTGCTACTGCATTAGAAATTCACTGTAATGATGATGTCAAATGCAATGTGCTGGGTTTTCTATCCAATTTGTCAACCAATAACGAATTTCGAAGAACGATCGAACAGTATAAGGACAATTATCAAAAACTTGTGCTACGTTTACTTGAAATATCACAAGACAATGCGATTAAATCAACAATTTCGTCAACTCACGTTACACTCTCGGAGCGAGCATTAGGCGTGCTTTTAAACTTCTCGATCACGAAAAATTCACTTCTTCGGACACAATATCTGTTCGAATTTCACGCTGTGGATAGAATTGAGAACATTCTCAGTCACGTGACGTCTTCAAACTTTTCTGCTTTGCTTCTCGTCTTGTCACGCACTGTAAGTCTTCTCTGTCGGCTTCAGCCAGCAAGTAAATCAAGTGAACAAGAATTTAAGCACGTCATTCGTCGAGAATTACTTTTAAAGCTCTACACAGTGTTTGAAATCGCAATACTCAATGTCAAGGACGAAACGAATGTATTATCGTTTGAGTTGTGGCAATTGTTCGCACAAATTTGGTGTCATTTTGGCTCGTGTATACACATCACAAATGTTCGTGCTTTGTTGAGCGAGAAGGACGCAGTCTCCCGATTGCTTCAAGTGCTTGCACTTGTTCATACTCAACATGTTCAGAAACGTTTTGCTAGCGAGTTTAATGCATGCGAACGACTTATTGGAAATCTTGTCAAAGTGTTGATTGCAATGCACTCGGACAATGTCTCAGCAGACTTGCGACATAAGAAAAAGCTCTCCATACTAGTGAAAACTCTTCAGAATCTACCGGATGGAGTAGCTCGCAAAAATGTTGCAATTCTTCTGGCCAAATTGTGTCAAATTGATCCAGAAGTGAAAGATATCGTTCGTGATCTGCGTGGTATTGAAATGATGATGTCAATTAGTTGCTCTTCTGCAGTGAGTAGTCGTTAACCATGAAGAAGTTATTTTTAAAGAATTCATTAACCTATGAACTACTCTAGCAAATGGGCTTCGACGCCCACAGCGATACAACAGCTAATGCACACAAGATCATCAAAATTATTTGGCTACTTGATAATGAAATAATACAAATAGTATCATGTAAGGCTTCATACCTGAGAAATAGAGAAAATGGACGCATGTAGGAAATGACATACTTTTGAACACCAACTTCCTGCTCACATGTCAATATTTTATACTTTGTTCCTGTTAAAATGAGCATCAAACTGCAACACGTACGCCTTCTTTCTCCATTTTAAACAAAGTATAATTGGTTTTGGAGCATCGAACGTCCGCCATGGGATTAATAAATTTCTAGACAAGTTCTCGTATATCTTTAAACAAGTTCCAACGTTTTTAGAAAATTGGAAGAAAACTTACTTGAAGGTTGGAGCAAAACGTATCACTTTTGCTATCAGTAGAAGCCGAGCGAGCTCTAAAGAGTCGAAATCGATTCGTCTGAAGTCACAATATGATTAGATTACAATCAAGCACCACATAGTGTAGAAAATACCGTGGAATTTAAACGAATATTCAATTCCTGCTTTCTTGTCTCCTGTTTAATATCAAATTGTACTCGACCTGCTGACTTTGAAGCGAGAACTCGAAAACGCTTTGTGTCTGTAGATGGCGTCATCAAAACTTTCCCTTCATAAATCGAGTCTGACCAACTCGTTGTAAATTTCTCGTCCAGACTTCAAAATCATCTCAACAATACAATTAAATCCATCATCTTAACATTCTTATGCAGAAAGTGATACCTGAATCGATATTTGTGCTTATTAAGTCGTTTTCGTGCGTAGAGACAAAAGTCCGTCTGACTTCCATGGACTTGTGGAATGTAAAGTCGAAAAGTTTTCGATCCGTAGCGAGGAACCTGATTTAAAACCGAAAACTCAATTTGATTTCTAGAATTAACAATCAATAGACTGACCTCAATGCCTGTAGCCAATGCCATTACGAAAACGGAAAATGTCGATGGAGTGTGATGCAGAAATGCCATTGGGCCATTGAACTCATCGCATTCATCCTGTTCCTATTGCAAGAAATCGTTAACTTTTCTCGTACTTGCATTCAGAACATTCGGTCAAACCTCATCAGGTATCGATTTGACGTCTGAAGATTGCACAGGAGAGCTCACAGAACGTGCCATTCGTGCAATGTCAGCAGAAGTCGTTGCTTCGATATTACCGTCATACTTTATTGATGACTCGTCATTTAAGTATGACACTATTTCATTCTTTGGTGAGTCATTGACAAACCAATCTTGGCTTCCATCACTATCACTAGCATTCGAGTTTTGTTCTTCAAACTCTTGTTTCAAACTACCATGACGAGTTAGTCAAGTATTCTTTCCAACACAATCGAGACTTACCGATTCGCAAAGTCACCCATAGCGCTTTCTTCCATCATCGTCAATCTCGTTCTTAGGGATTAAATTCAAGGAGGAACTCTTTTTAATAAGAGCGAAACGCTCGTCAGCTTGAACTGAATAAAGACAAAAACAGCGTAGAGACGAAACCAAAATAGACAGATACTTATACTTACATTTTTGATGCTTCAAGACTAGAGGTGTCAAGTGAATGGATGATCTATATAAAAAGCAGCACATCAGTAGACATTACAATGAACGCCAGGCTCATCAAAGAATTGTCCTAATAGTAATTTGTACAGTCCATTCTCTCATAGAAAGAGTAATGCCATCATTAATCTCAGAGACTCACTATAATCTCATTCGTGATGCTCTTTTCGACAATGATCGTGATCGTGTCGCTGAATTGCTTGCAGTTCCTGGAATCAATATCAATCAATTGGATGGTGGAGGTCAAACTTTGCTACATCTCGCGAGTTTTTGGGGGCGATTAAACTTGACGAGATTGTTACTGGCAGCTGGGGCGAGTGTCGATATCAAAAACGCAGTTGGCTGCACAGCATTAGACGTTGCAATATATTGGGGTCATTCAGCAGTGGCTGAGGCGATTCAACAACGGGGAGGTCTTAGTGCTTGGGAGGAAAAAGTTAGTCAACTCCAAACTGAATTGGAAAATGCCATTTTACGATCACATCAGTTTGAGATTCAAAAAAATGACAAATCATGTCAGCTTGAGATCATTCAACATGAATTCGAGTGCATACAGACTCAGCTTGCTGAAGAGAAAAGTGCTCATTTACGCACATCAACTTCTTATCAACACACTTGTAATTTGCTCAACTCAAAACTTGAATCACATCAGCAGCTTGAACAGGAACGAGGAAGTCTAATAGAAACAATAGAAGCATTGAAAGCGGCACAAACTCATAGCGAGAGCTCATGTGCACGTTTGCAGGACGAAATGATGGCTTTAAAAGCTCAACGAGACGCTGTTTTAGTGCGAATGCAGGCAAGTGTGAAGCGGCAGGAAGAAGTGAGCTATGGCTGGCAGCGTGCAGAAACGGCTGCTACTATTGCGGACACACAGCGTAACTTTGCGCTCGCTGAACGAGATAAACTCCATCGTCTCCATCTCGCAACACTCGCAGAGTTGTTGGTCACTACTGAGCGACTTGGAGCTGTTGAAGACGAGCTGATGAAGCTTAAAACTGACTTGGCCGAGTATATTTTTGATATGAAGAGAGCCCAGCGTCGTAAGAAACACGCAGCGCATGCTTTAGCTCCAGCTTTCCGACCAAACTCAAAAGTAGTGGAGAAGAAAGTAGTGAATGATAGTAAGGCACGACAAGCTGAAGATGTAGACCATATTGTCGAGGATTTGGATGTGAAAAAGTCGACGTTTTCACTAGCTGCTCGAGAGTTTGGGGACCGTTTGAGGATAGAAGAGCAGCAGAAGTATCGTATTCGCAGCCAACTACAAGACAAAGTAAAGGAGAAATATGAAGCGCATGCATCTCAAGCTTTAGTGATGGACATTCAGAATTTTCAAAAAGACTTTGAGACTGCAGTTCGTGCCCTTGAATCATCACGAAGTGAAATGTGGCAGCAACTCAAAATCGAACGCGATGAACTAGCGCGATATGCTACTGAAACTCTCGTTCGATCAAATTCGGCATCTTTATCACCATACAGTTGCTCGTCAGAGGGCTCACTAGAAACGATGATCACTGAAAAGTATTCGAATCACGCCTTGTCTTTGCCTCAAATAGCAACTGTTGAATCAGTGACGTCATGTATGGAGCTCAGTTCACGTGGTGGAATCGCGACAAAACACGCGATAGAAAGCCGTCCAATGTTACCGATAGTTTGAGTGAGTCCACCTGCACCTATACGCTGGCTTTGCCAGACCTTTTTACTTCAGTCATTTCTTTTTAGATGGTAGTCCTGTTAAATGATTTTTAAGTGATTGATAATGCTAAGAGGTAGAAGAAGATGTATGATATTGAATGTGGCTTGAGTCGCGATTGAAGATGTTTTGAGGAAAGGCATTAAGACGGGAAGAAACGATAGATATATGGTGTAAATCTGCTTTGCATTTTAGCCCAAGCACACACTTTGGTAGGTGGGAATGAGATATTTAATGTTGATAAAAGCATCGTCGCCTCCGTGAATCTCCAAGATCTCCAAAGTTTGTTGAATGAGATCTCCAAGATTCAATTGCTTACGCTGACTGTAGTCAATAGCATCTCCAATATTATCTAAAAGATCAAGAAATGAGCAGAATGAAATGCTAGAAATCCTTGACACTCACCATTCTTTCGAATAAAAATGTTTAAAACAGGAAGAAGTTGTCGATAATATGGTACAAGAGCTTGACCAATGAGTCCTGGGCCCCCACTTGGTTGAGCTGCAGACTCGCATGTTACCATAAGCTGCAACATATGCAAAGTTTTGACTATGATTCGTGCATTGCGTGTGTTAAGAGCACCTAATGCAATGAAAACAAAGTCATAAGATCAATCTAAAAAACCAAATTTCAGTGTTCAATTGCAGCGTACTTTTTATTGGAATGATGAGCTGTGGAACGACTGGTAATACTTTGTTGCTTGCATTAATAAGCATATCTTTAATCCCTTGTTCGGATAGAAACGCATATGGTTCCTCCACTTCACGCAGTCCGTCAAAGAATATCGGGAGATAGTGGTGAAAATCAAGCTTTGGATCACAAAGATTAAAAAAAATAATATCGAATCCTTGCTACTTTCCATATTTACCTTCGTGATATCCACTTTCCACGCCACCATGTTTCGTACACCTCCATGGTCGATCTGAATCGGTAAATCAGCTCGCTCATAGAATCTAACCATAAAAATATATTAACAATTGATTGATGTACATAGATTTCTTAATATTGCGAACCTTCGAAACGACGTATCGGGTGGATTAGGTCGCTCTCGAAAAGCAGCTGGTTGTTGGTGTCGTGACCGAGGAGACAAATACTCAAGTTTCTCTGCCTAGATTCGTATAAAGTATGTAATTTCAAAACCTTTGATGTACTAAAGGTCATACCTTCAAACTTTTCTCGAGATCAGCAGTTCCTCCAGAGCCTTGACCCTTGCGGAGGAAAGTGTCAGTCGTGTGTGGTTTCGAGGATTTTGACAACGAGAAGGCACTAATGTGCGCCGAGTCGTCGCCTTTATCGTTTGAAGGTCGCTACAAATTCAATAACGTCATGGTAAGTAATTAATCTACAGAAACATTGAAAGGTTTTTGTACCTTTGTAAGTATTGACGTTGTGTCGAAACAACTCCCAGTCTCGGGTAGTGTGATGCTCTTAGGAACAATTCGAGTACTGACATTAGGAATACGACCTGACATGCCTTCAATGTTGTCAACTGACACTCTTTTATCGTATGTTAAAATGTACTTGGTCGATGGATGGCTCACGCAAAACGGTCGGCTTGTGTCGATATATAAAGACGGATATTCCGAGAACAAACCTAGTTTGTCTTTAGAGTAAGTTATATTAGATAAGTTTGTAAGTATTGCAATGAAAGTAGCGTTCAGACCCAGTAGATACGACATCGAGGGAATTTATGCTTCACAATCGAATAGTAAGCCGCCGTGGTCTCCATATTGGCACAAGCTCCAATGTATAGTGTTTCGAACGGCAATTTTCGTCGTGATAACGTGCGAAACGATGCGATTGTGAGGTTATTGCACGCTTTGATATTTAAGTGTCGCAACTGCTGACAGTGCGAGATTATGGCAGCAATGCCTTCATCCGTAATGTTATAGCAGAACTCAAGTGACAATTGCTGCAGACTCAAAGCTTTAGAAGCCAATGATTTAATCCCCAAATCATCCAGTGCAATGCATCCTGATAGCAACAAAGTCAAAAGCTGTGGACATCCAGATGCGATTGCACTGAGGTCTTGGTTGTTAAGTGTCCGACATAGTGACAGATTGAGTGACTGAAGCTCTGTGCATTGTGCGATAGTTGTAAATGTTGCGCCATTAAGTGAGTGCAATGTACTGAGATTCAGTGATCGTAGTGTCTTTCGATTGGATGCGACTAGTGCAGCTACACCAACGTCGTCTAACCCAGCGCACCCGCTAACATCAAGTGTGGAGAGTGCGCAGCTTGTCTTCGTCTTGAGAGGTTGAAAGCTGTAGAAATCGGCACCTTGAACCTTTGGACAGCGTGCACAGGAAAAGGATCTAAGGTTACGCTGAGATTTGAAAAGACAGCGAATTGCGGGACCCGAAATCTGTACCAAGAACGCTGTCAATCATCAAATGTTTGAAATACATTTCATAGCAATTTACCTTTAGGCAGCGATCGAGGATAATTTCATCTAATGTTAATGATGTGTGTTTTGCTAGCGCCAAGATCGAACGATCAGTAATCCGTCGACACATTGTGAGGTTGATCTTTTGAAGTAATGGACAGTTGATCACAATTGCGAGAATTCCTTCGTCTTGAACGCGCAAAGAGCCTGATAAATCGACTTTAGTGAGTTTAAAACATGCGCGTGCAATTGCGACGAGCGATTTATTTGTAAGTCTGATACAGTGTAAGGCCAACGTTTGAAGACTCACACAGCGACAGAGCTGCTCCAGTGCTGAATCCGAGATTTGTTTCGACTCGACGTCCACATGCCGCAATTGTTTTGAATGAAGACCCTCGACAACATGTGATAGCAATGGAGATGTGACACACGGACCATAAAGTGCCACACTTTGTAATTGTGAAACCTTAGACATGAAATTGCTCTCTGTTGTGCTGTGCTGACGATCAACTAGCACGGCCACAGCCTTTTTAAGTTCAGTTTGACCCGTACACCATGTCTATAGTTACGTGGATCAGTCGCTTTCGAGATCAATAGAAAAACATATTCAAACGCACCAAGTCGACGTGCGACTCACGATGGACGGACGCAATCGTAAGTCGTCGCCAGCGCTTTGAAACCCAAGCTAAATTATGCCATCGGTCTTTTAAATGCACAAAGTGACACACATGTATTTCGATCAAATGATCGGGCAAGAATTCCATGTCGATTTTATTAAACTTATCACGTTGAGTAGCAGAATTGAACAAGTGAGCACATTGCTCAGGCTGACAATTTCTTGAAAAGACGCAACGGTCAATGGAAAAACGGCCTTTGCATATTTTGGTGAAATTTCAAGTGAAGATTTAAACTTCTAGAAAAAAAAGTATTCGTGGATTCCATACAGAAATGATTGTAATATAGAAATGGACTTACTTCTTGACTGTCAAGAACTTCGGCGTCGCGGTCTGTTATCGCAACTGCAGCTTCAAGAGTACGAGTCAATTCTTAAATCTACTTCTTCTCCACCTGATGACATTTGTAAACGTCTATCTTCTATACTTGTTCAAGAAATGGACGCTATCATAGAATGTGTGCGCGTGCAAAGTAACCAGCAAAAACAGGGAACGATTGATAATTCGGACCTTACGGCCTTAGCTGTTGGTGGCGCTTTGGGTGCATTGAATGCCTGGATGTGGCCAACTTCTTCTCTAACAGCAACGAATAAGACCACAAGTTTGTGGGCTAGTGCATACGACGGTGCCATCGCTACACTCAACGTAGCCAAACGCAAGCGTCGCGTGCAGCAGCTACAACTAAAATTATTGAGTGGAAATGTAGCCACTAGTAGCCATGTCGTGTTTTGTATCAATGGATTTATGACTCAAAGTGATGACCCACTTCGTAATTGGCGCGTCTGGATAGAGGATGACAAGGATGCTGCGGTCTTTGCTGTGCAGTGGGAGGCTGGAGACGTCGCTGCTTGGAATGAATTTTGCTCACACGTAAATGATACACTTGACAGTTCATCTGTATCATCTATGGTTGCACATTTTACTGAAAACCCATGGCACAGTGCTCAGGGCAAGGCGGAGCAAGTGGGAATGTTGCTTGCACAAATGCTATCGCAACGTCCGGTATCGCTACGCGGCCGTAAAATCTCGATGTTTGGGCACTCATTAGGTGGTGCTGTCATTTACAACGTTTTTCAAGAGCTTGCAAGGATACGATCAGAAAATAAGGCGACTGAATTACCTCAGATTACCAATGCTGTAAGTTTTGCGGGTGCATTCATTCCTGACACACAGGGACTCGATAATGTCATGCATGGACTCGATCCGATTGAAGGGAAATTTGTTAACGTCTATTCGACCCGCGATGGTGTGCTATCAAAATTGTTCTGGGCTTTGCAGCTTCCTGGTCCGAATGGTCTTGCAGCTGCTGGTTGCCAGGCCGTTGCCTTTGCCGCTGCCGCTGCCGCTAAGTGCGTAAATGTTGACGTGTCTGACTTGGTGATACCTCGCGTGGAGAACCATTTCGGTCACGGGTACCAGCAGTTTATGGAGGGTATAAGATCTCGTGTGCTACCTCATTTATTTCGAAGTAAAGAGATCCAAGCTACAGCGCCTCAAGCAATCGAGCCAAAAGAGCATAATTGAATGTAAAAGATATAATAAATGAAAGAGTAGATAAGAACTACTTAAACATGTTACCAAATGCCTTCTTCTCCTTTTCCTTAGCTTCGGCATCGTACGCACGTTTCTTAACTAGTAGCGCACGGATCTCACTGCGCACAGATGCGTTCTTGGGTTCTTCTTCTAGCAATTCCCCAAGAAGCTTATAAGCGATCTCATAGTGCGTTAATTGAATCATAGCTTGAGCCTTGCGAAAGCGGGCTTTACTGTGCTGCGGCTCAAGCTCCAAAACTTTATCACAACAGCTTAGCGCCCGCTCTGGCTGCTCGCCAAGCTTTAAATGACACAGCGCCATGTTGGCCCACACAGCAATTTTAATGTCTTGAATCTGATCCCCTTCTGCCTTTGTAGCTGTCACACCCACCGCTCCCTGCGCGTACTGGGACATGGCATCGCCAGCTACGGACAGGCCGTTCACGTACGCAAACACTTTCGCATACGATGCCAGTGCGCGCTTGGGCTCGCCCTTCTTGACATATAAATTACCTTGACGCTTTAGTAAATTGGCTTGTTCCACTTTCTCGGCTACGGACAATTGACCAAGACGCGACTTCCACCCACGTAAAAGCTCCTCATCACTGATATCGCTTGTGTTTGAGATGGTAGTCATAACGGCTCAAATTTTGAAATTTATAGTCAATTTGATACAAAATCAACTATTACGCATTCGAAATCTCTCTATCTGAATGATATTTAAAGCTACTCTTTCGAGTCTAATGGTTTCCGACACACACGCTTGACAAATTCATACGACGTCACCATAAGTATACCTGATGGGCCCATTGCCAGTAATCGCTGATATAATAAAACAAATTAGCAATATTTAAGTTGAAGAAATTGACATGTTACGTACCGCGGAGAGGCCTGTCATGAGCCCCTTCGGTCCATCCGTGTTTATAATATACTTCAAAGTATCAATAGCGCCGTACTGCGTAAAAACCTGTACTTTTGTCCTTACAATATCCAAAGGGTTGGTTAAAATGCCAGTAATTATTCCAGCGCTGGCACCACTCAGCCCCTGCGCTACAACTTTTGCACCCACCACCATTAAGGAATCACATAGATTACGACCGGGTCTTTTACAATGTATGAGTAATACGCAGCATGTACCTTGTTTCCAAAACGGATCGGATGGCCACGTCTGCAACAAATTAAAGTACACAGGAACGAGCAGTCCGTAAGACCCCCACCAGATCGAAGACGATGGTGCATACGTTGCAATGGATGGAATGTACCCTCTATAAAAACCTCGAATGCCTTCGGTACGAAACACCTGCTTCGTAACACCAAAAAAACTTTTGGTGTGCTCCCTCGTCTTGCGTACATCGTTTCCTTGACCAGTAAGCATCATTCGTTGCGACACAATGTCAAGTGGAACCACAATTGTTTGTGATGCGAGCGATGCAACAGCTCCACCCACAAAATTAGCGCCCTTTTCGCCCACCTGAAAAACATGCTATTAGCTGAGCTTACGCTGGTTGAACCAGCTACGTACTACCCCACCGTCGTACGAGTCTTGAAAAGTTGACGTGTCTTTTCATACACTGAAATGTAAAGATTTCCTGTCAGCACATTAACTGTGCTGGCACTGAATCCTTTGTAGAGTCCACGAGCACCTTCCTGTCGAAAGATAGTGGCAAAGGCGTTGGCCGTTCCTAAGTAGAGTGGTTTATGTTTGGACTGCACCTGCAGCCGCGTTTTGACCAAGTTAGAAGGATACACGGCCGCACGCACGGCCAAAAGCATGGTTGGGCCCACGATGTAATATTTTAGCTTGTCGATCTCGTCCCATGAGATATCTTCTAGCATATAATCGTCTTTGGACATAGTGACCAAAAGCAAAGCAATAGGCTTAACAAAGCGTCTCTGAAAAGTTCCAACCAATCGAAGACCCGAAAGGATGTACTGACTTTTTAGCAGCTCAATTTAAGCCAACTGCATTAGTGTATTCAATTTGTTGATGATAAGGGCTTGAGAAAGTGTACATCCGAAGTTTGTGGAATACCGTTCGTGTATACATCTTTGACTTCTTCCTTCGCCTCGCATTCAGAGACGCCTTTATGTCGTACGATGATGATTTACAAACAGTTCGCGCCGAAAAAAGTAAGACAGACCGAAAAAATGAGTGAAAAGGCGAATTCAAGATGTTGATGATATGTGAAGAGTATCTGAAAATGCAGAGACGCCAAAATATCTGTCTTCACGGGCTGGAATGATAGACGTAAACCAATTATAATTGTGTGCAATGATTTCGGAAATCTCACTTTCAGTAATAATATGTCTCGTATGTATTAATTACGGTAGACAAGGATCTGCCGAACACAGCCCGGTCCTATCTCACCAGACCCGAAAAAATCGTGCATGGTAAAGTGACTAATGGTTTCCAAAATTTTACTGAAGTTAAGTCTGGAGAAGATCAAATTTAAGTGATTCACAGCACTTGAACCGTCCGACACGAGGTGCAGCGTGGCTACCATAGCTTTCTCGCTTAGAGGAAGCTTAGTTAAGATTGGCGACCTTCGCTATATACTAAGAACCAGTACGAGTGCAGCTGATCGCAATCCTCTTACTCCAACGTAACTACATCCTTAGCCCAAGGCTGATCATCTCTTTTCGTTTAAAGTATAAATTGCATAAAACTAATAGGTTTTTTATATTGTAAAAATTTATTAAATGTATAACTATTGGCTGTTTCAGCCACATACTGACATATTTTGTTTAAGTATAGCCAGACCATTGTGTGATCACACCGCCTTGTGTGGCCCCGATACACCCCCCCATCAAGATTGTGAACACCTACAGTTCGAATTCAACTGTTGCCTCGAACGAGGCTCGCTTATCTAAGACACCACAACATCACCAGGACCTTCTTACATTTGTCTGTTGAGTGAGCACTGTGTGGAAAATCGGAAGACCCCCAGCCACAATGGATCCGGAAACACCCGCGAGCAAAGTCCTTCTTTGTCTCCTGTACGCAGTGCAACTCCGCACAGTTCGTCCTAAAATTCAAGAAATGCGTTGCCCAAGCTCTCGGTGACTGAGTACAGGGATTTAAAGGAAGTCGACTACGAGTCAAATACTTCTTTCCTATGATAGTAAGAAGAAGAAGTGCGCCAACGGCGCGACGAGATCCCTGCTCGAACCTTGCGGGCGCCGTGTCCGTTTCCCGAACCCTCGACTTCCGGGGGGGGGGAATTATTACCGATCACCTTGGCGGGGCACAGAAGCAGCAACTGAATGCTGCCTCGTTCCATGACCCTCGTGTGGAATACGGCTTCCGCTCGGGTGGTCACGCTACGGAAGCGAAGGACGCGATCGTTGGGTGTCTACGTGGACGGGTCCCCGGCCACTACACATGCTGAGCTTGACAAACGAAAAGCATTCTGTGCTCGTCTTGGTTTCGCAAGAAATCCTGGTGGGTACGTACTGCATTCGACTTCGTGCTCAAAGAGGAGGCATTTCTTACCCGCGATGCGGACTCCCCCTGTGGTGCTCGCCCCTGGCGAAACCGCTGCAGATAACGAGAAGCACGTGAGTGGTGGGTTTTGCGACACCGATAGATTTTCTCGCTGCACAACTTACAGTAGAGCAACAAAGAAGTGGACGCGTGTGTGGACAGCTATCTTCAGTTTGAGCTTGACAATCTTAAGGCACATCGCCGACTTCCTGAGTTTTGTCGCCCTGCTACATATAAATTTGTCCCTCACGCTCCCGCGAGCTCTGTGGTCTCTTACACGGGAGAGTCTGCGACCGCAGCAGCTCAGGGCCATAGCTTGAACTCAGCTAATGGCCCTTCCGCCTCCCTGGCTATTGCCGAGAAGCTTGGGGCGTACGACGACGCGAAACGTCATGATCCCTCTGATCATAAGCGTCCACGGCGTCTGGGACCGGGTGGGTACAAATCCATTTCGAAAGGATTAGCGTATACGCAAGGCCCCATTCGACAACAACCTTGATAGTTCCGAAGTACCATGGACGGAGCGTCGTCTTAAGACAGCGGAAACTGCAAGGGTCGGAAGGGTTTTAGCATTGAATAGAACCGGGTCTCCGACCTCAACGTTTTCAACATTTCTTTGCTCCTTCCGTCTGCATATTCTTTTTGCATGTCTTGGCTTTCAGCCTTCGCACCGTGAACGTGTCGTAAGACAACCAGTCTGGTAGACAGGAAGTCATCGAGTTCTTTACGAACAGTGAGGGGGCTGACATCAGCTAGCTGCTCGATTATTACTGCCCCAACAAGCCCTGAGCCATGGAATGGCGGCGTCAGCAGGACGCGAGGGCTAACAGTCCCGTTCATGCAGAACGGCGCGTAGCCGGTAGATGAATGCTCTGAATGCACTGCATTGTTCAGATGAAACTCTACGAGTGGCAGCATGGCGGCTTACCAGCGTAGACGCTGCGAAGAACGTCTTCAACACAGAATTAACGCGCTCGGTTTGACCATCGGTCTGCGAATGGTCCGCTGTTGACATATCCAGCTTGGTGCCCAACACCTTGAAGTTCGTCGACCAATACAATTCATTGAAGTGTGGGTCTCTGTCAGAGAGTCAGAGATAAATGACTCCAGTGACCATGTTGTCGAAAGACACGATCCACAAACAGCGTCGCTGTACCGGCACCGTCAATGGTGTCTGGCACCTCCGCAAGCTGATCCATCTTGCTCAAACTGTCGACGAAGACCTCGACACTCGTGTTGCCCAATGAGATCTATGGCAGGCCAAACACAAAGTTCAAACTCGTGGACTACCAACACCCGGAGGGTATCGTCAAACTGAATAGCGGCGCCGCCGCATTTGGAGAGAGTTTTACCATTTGATACATGCTCGTCTATTCGTACAGCTTGGGCTACCAGTAGTAGCAACTCGCAGTGCTTTAGGTCTTTCACGACCGAGTTGACCACTGATTGAGGTGCCATGTGCCTCATAGAGGATACAGTATTCATCGTGACGAACCACGATTCGTGGCGTATCCGTCGAGTCGGTGCTATAATACAGAAATCCTTCATTCAATTAAAATCGGTGCAACCGTGCATGCAGCCGCGACGACTAATTCTTGTTCGAGTTTCCAAGCTCCTTCCTCCCGAGAGCCCGTAGCAGCGCTACGCACATATTGTCAACCGAGTATGCGGCGCAAATCAAATCCGTCACTGCCGACGTCACTGTCGTGACATGAGCAAGCTCATAATCTTGTCTGCGTGGTAACGCATCAGCCAAAGCATTCTGCTAGCCAAAGCTTTCTGCTTTCCTTGCTAATATTCCACCTCGAAGTCATATTCTGCAAATAGTGAGAACCACTTGACCATCCTCTGCGAGATATGAAGCGACTGATTCGCAGTGCGTAAGGACGCATGATCTGTGAAGATCACAAACGGCTTTGAGCGAAGCAGGTGTACCCTGAACTTGACAAGTGCGTACCTCATCGCAAGTAATTCCTTGTCGTGGACTGGGTAGTTCTTCTTCACAGCCTTAAGCTGACAAGATTCGAGCGTGATCACTCGGAGGCGTCTGCTTGCAGCAGTGCGCAGCCGATGGCAAAGTCCGAAGTGTCACATACGACACTGAAAGGGCGATCGGGGTCTGGAAACGCCAGTATTGGTGCATGAAGGAGGCTGTCTTTGAGCCCGTCAAAACCCTCTCGACGCTCGGTGTCCCAACGCCATTCTGCATCATATCTAAGAAGATTCAACAATGGCCGTGCTATCTCTGCATAAATCTCGCTATACTTGTGCAAGTAGCTGGCGAGGACAAGCCACTTGCGTAAGACCTTTTGCCTCCTTATAACTGGCCAGTCCACAATGGCCTTGACCTTAGCGGGATTCACTCGAAGACCACTTTTTTCGAAGAAGCACCCAAAAAGGGGATTTCTTCAGCTCCGAAGATGCACTTGTCTGCATTAGCATACAGCTTATTCGTGCGCATACACGCAAGCACCGCTCTCAAATGAATGATGTGGTTCTCTTCATCCGTTCTTCCTTACTCCGCACGACTGTTGACAAAGATGTCATCAGAGTATGTCTGTGCATACGCCCGGTGGAACCTGAACTACTGCGTCACAAGTCGATTCAATGTTGATAGTGCATTTGACAGCCCTTATGGTATCACCAGGCACTACCAGAGCATGCCGCTCGGAGTACTCACCGCTGTCAGCTGAATTTCACTCGCTCTCATGAGCAATTGGTAACACTCATCGACCGATCGAGAACACTGTGCATTGTACATCCAACCATAATGTTCTGGAGAGCATCCTCCTAGGAATCGGCGTCTGTGCCGGAATGGTGGCAGCGTTGAACTTATTATAAACGTTAACGATACACCACTTGCCGTTCGGCTTCCGGACACAAAACGTTAGTGTTGAATCAGGAAACTTGCTCTCTCGTACCATTCCTACGTGTGCTTAGCACGGAAGAAGGCATCAATGGTGACTTACTGTTCCTTGGGCAGGGGCAATTGGCGTGAAGCGCAGTATTTGGTTCCCGAAACCAGGTCGATCTCATGACACACACTCGGTCCGGAGGTAAGACTGACGGCGGGTCTTTGAAGACGACAACCTGAAATTTTTTCACAAATAGATACTGCGGGCCCAAAGTATTCTTCAAGATCGAAGATCCACTTATTTAGCTCAACACCCTCAAGAATAGCTTCATTCAGAAGTGACGAAGAATTGATCTCTTCTTCCAGTCAGATAATGACCACTTTGGCTAAGTCGCCTGTCTTCAAGGCACCGCTGACCTCGTCGAGGGACCACTCGTCCAGCTCAAGAAGAGCATCCATTGCAGGAGAAGCCTCGAGGGTGACGTCGCCGTCTTTCTTTCCCTTCACACTGTTGACGAGGGTGTATAGCTGTGCATTATCGCCTACGGTATGCACATTCTGGGTCAGGGTCGACACCCAGTGTCTTGCAGCCAGCATACGACGTCGCTGTCGCATCTTCACAGAGGTTGTACGTCTCGCGAGGCCAGTGAGAGCACGCACTCAGCGTCGTACAGTGTCAGCCCCACTTCCTGCCCCACCGGAGCTCTGATGTTATTAACAGCATTCGACGAAGAGCTGCTAGCTCCGCAGTCTTCGTCCAGTGCAAAACGTGCCACTCCACGCGCATCAGAAGGGCTTTACCCAAGATGCCTCGGACCTCCCCCGATCATGCCACCTAAGGCATGTAGCGACTACTCTAAAACATGAACAGTGCTCAGTGGATAACGTGCCAATCCACGTGCATGACAGGGGCCTCACCCGCGATGCCTCGGCCTTTGGCCCTTGGCCGACCATACCACGCACGGCATGCAGTGACTGCTCTGATACTCGAGCAGCGCCTAGAGGGTTACGTACCACTCCACGTTCAGCCCGCGAGCCATGCTCGAAGCTCCTGTCCGATACAGCTTCGATGTCCACCAACTCGGATACTCCGATTTCCAGCACGTTGACTACCTTGGTCCAATATTCGCGCCAATGGCGGTTTTGCCTTCTAACAGAGGTGAGTTCATGACTAACCCAAATTCCACCGGGGGACGTGCGCGTAGGTCTTTAACCTCCACTCGATCCATGGCTTATGGTAATCCAGCCATGCCAAGCGAAGGATTAAGTCACACTTTGAATCCAATTCAACGGCAAGCAGTGTACCACGCTATCAAAGTCAAGTAACTTGGCAACGAGGTCCACAGGGACCTTCGGCACGGTGACACAAGTCCCCATCGCTAAGCGAACAGTGACGTTGTCACTCAACTGCGCTATCAGCGCCTCAGCAAGCAGCTGAATTCCTTTGATCGTGAAGCGTAATTGCCCGACGCCCCCCAGAAGACTGGTGAAAAGCGGGACGTCGGTTTAATGAAACTTGATGCGCCTTGCGCAGGGGACAACCAGTCCGAAGTTGACAGGTGTCTCCACAGACAAAACACCGTCAGGTGCTTGAACGCTGCTCGGCAGCTCGAAGCCCTGCCTCCTCGTCCTCAGCTTAGCTGAGATTCGTTGGCTCAGCCC